CGGTGCCCGAGCCTGCGTCTCCCACGCGGCTCTCCCATTCCGACGACGCCGCGTCGCCGGATTTGCCGTCCCGCAAAAAAACGGTCACGGGCTGAAGTTCGTGGGAGCCGCCGGTTGAGCCGAAACGCGCGTGCGGATCGAGTGGACGATTCTTTGCAAAGAGGAGAAAAAAAGATAAATTTTAAAATCGGTCACTCGCTCGCCCGCCTGCGTCCGCACGTCGTCGAAATATAAATACAGCAACAAAAAAGCTGAATAAATTAAATATTTTCCTTAGGCCTGTACGCTAGAGCACGGGCAGGTTTTTGTCTTGAGGATGAAACCAAAAAAAGGCACACAAAGAGGAAACAAACATTTAAAAATAACGCGAAAATGCAGATGACATCGCCAGTGCTTTTGACTAAATTATAACCGAAGAAGTCTTGATTTAAAGCTTTCGTGACTGCAGAAATTCACACTCTTTGGGTCTTTCGGTAAAGTCACATAGATAGAAAAATAAAAACATAACCCCACCCACTTACCCTTGGGCTGCACCCATCTCAGGCCTATTATATAACACCCTGCTTCACCAGCTCTCTTGCTATATTTTTTCACCTGAGGACGATTGCTTGTGTTGCGATCGAAACGTCGTGATTTTTATTTATTATTTTTCTATCTACGTGACTTTACCGAAAGACCCAAAGAGTAATACCGAAGAAATATTTGCATTTTTGTTTTTTTCGGTGTTGTCACGAATTACCAGGATCAGTTGAGGATTTATTCTCATTTGAAGTTTTTTTTGTCTGTTTAACACATGTGGTTACCTCAACGGAGGTTACATTGGTTTGAACGTCAGCAGCGAGACTCCAGCCTCATCTCCCCCCCCCGGGCCAGCGCAACGTCCCACACACACCTCAATTAATCCACACGCGTGTGCAGCACACCTTAATCTGGGCAGGGATCGTTGTTCATTACGGGATCTGACTCACAGTCACAAATTTAGCGAGTTCAAACCCAGGCGGTCTGAGTGACTCAGAGGTCAGTCAGAACGCTGAGCTGGCACTACTAAGATTAAGCCGGGTTCTTAAGTGGAGTGAGTTGGTGGTCGCAGCCCGCTCACCAATGATGGGGCACCGCCGTGGCGAGATATTATCTCCCTCGGCCGGAATACAGGAGGACGTGGGTTCGATCCCAACTCCAACTCTGACGCCTGCTGTATATTTGGGGGGCTATTATTTTGTTGCCAGTTCCATTCGGATAAAAGCGCTAGACAGCTCAGTGGACCTTACCTGGTAAAACAAATAAAAACGAAGTTTCCTTTTAGACTCCACGAAAAAATCCCATCACAATTCATTTGGTTAGTACCTAAACTGGATAACTAGTGCACAGAACATTAGTCTCGGTGGCAGAGCCGTTGGGAAAGTGCTGTCCCGTACCGCGTGGAACAGAGGGCGCTTGAGAGGATTTCAGAGGTAGCTCTGTGGTATCCACTTGCATGAGCTGTTCTCAAACACAAAGGGCTGCACTGTTTTACAAGATCCGAATGAATGCTTGATCTCACGACATGACATCGATAGCACCATTGGCGTAAACTTCGGGGGGAAAAAGTTTACTTATTCACAACGCACTATGGCCCCGTTACCTGTTTTTTTTGTTAAATGTGCTTGTTATTTCCTGCAGCATGTTAAAGTATGGACTATATATCACAATGCCAACGAGGGGCAAACGTTTCCCGGTGAGTCGTGTCCAGTCCTTTGGGACAAGTCCTGTGAGCACCTACGGAGGCCAGCAGGACACACAAGGGCGCCACGGTGGCGAGATGTTAACCGCCTCGCCTGGTACACGGTAGCTCGTGGGTTCGATCCCAACCCTTGTATATTTAGAGTTGTATGTTCTCTCTCCCCGTGGTCGTGTGAATTTTTCTCCGGGTCATCTCGTTTTTTCCCCCTCCACATTTAGGGTATTTGGCTGTGGCTATGAAATGCAACGTGATGGGCCAATTCATCGTTTTTGGCCAGGCCGCTTCTGAAAAAGAGCTATATAGCTCAGTGGGGCCTTACCTGGTCAAATACACGCACACCTTGCAGCAAATGTCTCCCTTCCGTTGATGCTCACCACACCACACAAGGTACTCCACTTGAGGCCCAGTTAACATCGGGGCATTCCAGTTCAGGTACGTTTCATTGCCACTAGTTTTGTGCATCCGAACTACTAAACCACTGACACCGCTGAGTAAACTATATGAAGACAAACAGATACAAAAATGGCGACTAAGTGGTGGTGACACCACAGTGCTTGTACCAGACTAAGTACACGTAGTGTGTATACATATGCAGCGACCACAGCGATAGATTGAAAACGAATTCCTTAAGAACTGCTTTTTTGCACCTCCCGTTAGTACGGTTGGCTACATACTGTGCGTGAACGATATGAAATAATTACGTGGTTAAGATTTGTGCCCGTGAGCTCTCCGATGTGTTTTCGGGTTGTGCCGTGTGTCGCCTGGCACGATGTCTGACGTTTCGCTGCATGTGCAGGGGAGCTTCTTCCAACACGTGGCGCAGCCCGAAAGCACGTGGGGCGGCAGAGCCGTGCCGGCACAGGAAGGAGAACGCCTCCGCGGCCGCACTTCTGTTGAACATCGTTTGCACTCTCGTTGTCGTTAAATTCGCAACGAGAGTGAAGCTTGCGTAACCAAGCGTGCCTCGGGCAACCCATACGAGGGATAAAGTCCGGGGTTTGGTAAACGATAAACAGCAAACGCAGCCCGGGGGAGAAGCCACTCCTTCACACCGAGGGGCCGGCGATGCCAGGACGGGGAGCTGCAGTAAAGGTCGGAGACCTCGGGGAGATGGTAACAGGAAATGACTCGAAAAAGGGGCTTATTTAGCACTATTGTTACTCGTGGTCAAATTGTGTAATGCTCACTGGCTGAGAGCTTCCAAAACGCACCAATTATCATGAATTAATCACGTGCGTTTGTTCCTTCGTAACCATTAATATCCCACCTCTGGGCAAAGCACCCCCACCCCCCACCCCCCCCGAGGATCTTTCCATTCTTCACGACCTATTGCCACCTCCATCCACTACGACCCTCCGAATCTTCTAACTCTTGGACGAGCCGTCGAATTTTTCTGCCCACCTTTCGCCTTCCCTCCGCGCATCTCGACGTTCTCCGTAAATTGGTGCCTTGTTTGCTAACTGCACCGCCTTTCACAGTCACCTGCAAAGTGCGAACACCGAACGGCGAAGCTTTCGCTCGTGGTCAGTTCTGCTTGTGGGTTTGTGTCAAACTTCGATGGGGCAGAGTTGAACATCACCTTGGCCCTCTGCGGCCGCCTGGAACGCTCTTCCTTCCGATATTAGGAAGCAGCCACTGGAGCGATGATGCACCTTTAAATCATCGTCTAGATTGAAAACTCATTTCTTTAGAACTGCTTTTTGTATTTAGTTTGTTGTCCTTCCCCCGCACTACCGATTAGCATGGTTGGCTATGTACAGTGCGAAAGAAGTTCAACATACGTGCATACATTAGCCGCATCAGGTGGGCCGATAAGGCCCACACTGCTCTCATCCCCCATTCACTTCTTATTTTTTTCTACATATCATTTCACAACTGCAGCGCCGAAGTACCCGGTGGTCAACCTTCGCTCGTTCGGGAGCCGCTCTTTCTCCTCCGTTGGCTCCACGTGGACCTGCTTTCACCTCGGCAACCTGTGCTGTCGCCTTCCTACCGCTGTTCAAGTCCAGGATCAATATTTTCCTCGAGTCCTCTCCCACCTATGACCGCATGCCTCTAGATAAAAGGATTTAAAATATACATGTAAAACATGCCCACTCTTTCTGTACAGCATCTCGAGATGTGACCGCACTTGTGTAAAAAAGAAACCCACGCGACGGTTTTTAAAGTTGCGTGCCCACACACGTTCAAATGCACGCGAACATCTTCGAAAAGTACAAACGTCAAAATTGCAGACATATCGAAGAAGCGCGTTTTTGATGCACATAGCAGCATAGTGGGGCTTTAGGGGGCCTGCAGTGAGAGGCTGAGAGACGTTACGTAACTCGCGTCACGATACTCTCTCTCAGAAGCCCTTTCCCCACATGCCTTTGCCCCCTTCCTCTCGACACACTGCCGTATGCCGACGCTGTGGTATAAAAATCCACACCACGCTGTAGTTCTTTCATGATAGTCATCCACGGCACGATAGGACGCGGAGAGACAAAAAAACACCAAGCCAATCGTGTTGCTTAGCGTCATTTGAAAGATGACTGCGAAATGCGAAGAGATGAGACGCATGAACACAGAAAGTCTAATTCGTAAAAATGTGTTGATTCTTACATACAAAGATCCCACGTATAGCCTTAGCAAACTGTTGGGGCAAGCGCTGTTAGCGAGCACCTATGAAGGTCGGCACGGCACACGAAGGGATGGGTGGCCAGCACCACGCCCGGCCACCTTTGTCTCTCGAGTGGCGATGTTTACTACACACCGTACCAGGTACTCATTTGAAGCCGAGTCGACCTAGGGGACGCCCAGGTCCGGTTCAGATAATCGTCACTGGCGTTGGTGACCGTGAGCGGGAATCGAACTCGAGCGGCCAAGTTCGTAGCGCAGCGCCATAACCGTTACCACTGGCGCTCCACACATAACAACCTGACAGATACACATACGCTTACAAACGTGCCTCGTATTGGGGCCAGATGTATTTCAAATAACTCCTCTATTAGGTGATGCAGAGACATCTCTCTGCTTTATAGGTTGCAGTGCAGAACAAACCACAGCATCGCAGCCTCTCCCTGCACCATTCAACAAAAGCAAGATGACATTACATTGTGTAACAAATTTATATTTATCTTTTGTTCCTGGGTAGTAAGTGTTGTTTCCAAATTGCTTATGCCTCAAAAGCACAGAAAATTGCTATTATTCCCTGCAAACTTGGCTTTTGTGACCAGAACAGTGATATTTTGAAATTTACATATTTTCCAGAAGATTCAAGATATATTCAGTGCTGAGTAAACTTGGAGTAACTTCTAGAACATTCTAGAACTTCCCAGTAATATAAATAGTAGTATAAATACAGGGGCCTTAAGCCCACCAGTTCAGTTTAGTTCCAGCTGCCTAAGTGGATACATATCTGCATTTTTCTGAGATGGCATAAAGAGGCTGCAAGCATCCGGCAGACGCATTTTGCTATGTCTGCGGCCAATTTATCAAGACAAGAACGAAGAAGTACTCTGTGGAAGCATCTGCTACGATGTGTGAGGCCAACAAGGCATATTTCGGCATGCCTGTCAAAAATCAAGACAAACCCTGGGCACCTAATATCACCTGCGAGCAATAAATGTAACTCTGGAAGGTAAGATATATAATTGTTGTTCGAAATTTTATGTTATCAAATTTGTGACAAATTTTTAAATTGTAAAAGTTTTTAATTTTAAAATGTTATCCAATGTTATTGGAAAAAATATCATATATGAAAAATGTTGCGAGAATCTCTTACACATTAGTCATGGGTGAAATGTATTTTTGTAGGATGGTACAAAGGGGAAAGAGAGCCCTGAAGTTCGCTATCTCAAGAATTTGGCGGGAACCCACTGACCACTCAAGCAACTGCTACTTCTGCATGGTGGACCCTTCCAAACGTCGAACTGGCAAGAATGCACCTGCTATGTCGTATCCGGACCTTCCGTCGTCAATCGCCCCGGTGCCACACTGCCATGAGCTCCCCGTACCCACTCCTCCAGAGAGAGAGCAGCCGTCTTTAGAAGAGAGCAGCAAGTCAGGGAGCAAGGAAGACGTAGAACCAGATGACAATTTCAGAGATGGAGCTGAGGAGAGAAACCCAAACTACCCCAACCAAAAATACCCCAACGACTTGATCACAGATCTTGGTCTCACCAAGTCCAATGCTGAGCTTTTGACGTCTCGGCTCAAGCAGTAGAACTTGATGTATGAAAGTGTGCAAGTCGCAGATCAGCGGAAGCGTCACCAACCTTTTTGTAGCTTCTTCACTCGTCAAGATGGGCTCTGCTTCTGCCACAATGTGACCAGTCTGTTCGAGGCAATCGGGATCGCCTGTAACCAGAATGAGTGGCGCCTCTTCATTGACAGCTCATCCAAGTGCCTCAAAGTCGTTCTGCTGCTCCATAATGGTAACAAGTACCCGTCTCTTCCCCTGGCCCCACTCAGTGCACCTCAAACAGGATTACAATAGCATCAAGACCTTTCTGGACGCCTTGAAGTATGAGGAGTACGGATGGGAGGTCAGGTCATGGGAGACTTCAAAAAGGTGGCATTCCTGATAGGTCTCCAAGGCGGTTTTACCAAGTTTCTCTGCTATGCCTTTGGGACAGCAGGGACACCAAGGCGCACTACTACAGGTGGGACTGGCCACAGTGGACCGAGTTCTCTGTGGGGAGGAACAATGTCAAGTGGGAGCCACTGGTGGACCTCCGGAAGGTGCTGATGCCACCACTGCATATCAAATTGGGCCTTATGAAACAATTTGTCAGAGCTGTAGATAAGGAGTCGGCAGCCTTCAAGTATCTTCAATACTTCTTCCCTAAGATGTCTGATGCAAAGGTCAAAGCCAGTGTCTTTGTCGGGCCACAGATGAAGAAGATCCTGGAGTGCAATTAATTCCCCAAGAAGCTCACTAGTAAAGAGAAAGTGGCTTGGAACAGCTTTGTCGCAGTGGTTCGTGGCTTCCTGGGCAATCACAAGGTCGAAAACTACGTGGAGCTGGTTGAGAACTATGGCACAATGGGCTGTAGGATGTCCCTCAAAGTCCATATCCTTGATGCTCATCTTGATAAATTTAAGGATAACATAGGAACGTACTTGGAGGAGCAAGGCGAGCGCTTCCACCAGGATATACTGGACTTTGAATGCCGCTACTAAGGACAGTATATAATGAGAACATGATGGGAGACTACATTTGGGGGCTGATTCGTGAAAGTATTTACAGTATAATCGTAAATCTCGAAAAACTACTCACTTCTAAATCTTTTGTAGTAATTTTGTATTACTTTAGTGTAAATACATGTACATTTTGATTCATGTTGTTTTTTTCTGACTATGTGAACGAAAAGACACAAATTTCTCACTGAAAATAGATACATTCCAAAATATCACTGTCCTGGTCACAAAAGCAAAGTTTGTGGCGAATAATAGCCATTTTCTATACATTTTAGGCATAAACAATTACGAAATAACACTTACTACCCAGGAACAAAAATTGTGTTACCTAGTGTTATTCGAGTGAGCACACCCCCCCCCCCCCTCCCACACGCACACCATACTACTACAGTAAGAGGGGACCGTGCACGTTAACGAATGCCATTCCTAAACAAATTCACAACAACAACAAAACACGGCAACATTTCCAGTCCAAGTTAATCCATCTTCACTGTCCATTTCTTTTTTGACGAATAACTTTTGAGAAATCTACAATTATCAAAACGTGCTCACGACAGGGGCCACTCTGCGGTCATCGGGGTGGGTTTCGAGTTTCGGTCGGCCAGATTCTTCAAGGCTCAGGATTTATTTTTTTGCACTTCGACACTTTTAAATGGCACAAAAAAATAGCCGTTAGATTGCCCAACATTTTATGTTGATTCGTGCCATCGCCGTCATACCAACGTGGCTACATTTGTTGTAAGACGTGGCCCCTTTTTGTACACTATGAACACGTCACAGATATTTCTGCATGTGGCGCATTTGTTCACGTCAGCACGTTTCCATGCAGTGCTTGCGTATGACCCTCTATGATACAGAAATAAAATGTACGCGTAAGTTTCCCTGTTCGCCTTCCCTGGTTTGGGAAAGCCTTCATGCAGCCGTGAATAAATCGCGGGCGATCTGTTTACACGGGGAAATTTAATTTGTATGCGAGATGTTTACTATATCGCCTGGTATATAGGAGGTCGTGGGTTCTATCCAGACCCTGACCCCTGTATGTTTGGAGTTTGCATGTCTCTCTCCCCGTGGTAGTGTGGATTTTTCCCCGGATCCTCTGGTTTTCCCCTCCACATTTAGAATCAACATGCGTTAAGAGTATTTGGTTGCTATAAATTTCCACATGATGAGCCACTTCGTTGTGCTATAATATAATTTGTGGCCAAGTCGCTTCTGAAAAATAATTTTATAGCTCAGTGGCCCTTACCAGGTAAGATAAAAAAAAATATATAGATAAAATTGCATGCAACATTTGCGAATCTAAAAGCATCAATTCTCAAACGAGAATTTCTGGCCACTTTATTTCGCAGAATTACTGAAAAATTGTCCTAAACTGTAAAATACACTGCTGCTTTTAATTACAAGAATGGCAAACGAAATTAAGAATTACTGAATGGGTATATGGTGTTTTGGCACACACATGGCTGTACAGTGTACTCAGAAATATTATAAATGTACCCACCATCCATACATTCCAGACAGAAACTAAGACGTTATTTTCAGACAGCTTATGAATAACTGAAAGCAAGTTGACAAACTCAGTTTAGTGTTGACATGATATACTTTCGTTTGTCCGTGTATATTGTCTACATGGTATTGTATTGTTTTCCCTGCAATCTCCTCATTTACCCAGGAAAGCCTCATCTCTCTTTTTCAGGAGGCGAATTGCCCGATGATGCTGGATGTAATTACCAGCGAAACGTCGTACTCAAAAATTGTAAATGTTGTGGATTCACTCTTCAACACACCGGTGGGCTAAAGTAGTGAACTATTTGTCTTTTGCCAACGTGACACTTTTTTGCTGATTGGCCGTGTCGGGTGGTGGAGGGTTATGACACATTTATAAATAACGCGATCCAAACCAAAAACTTTATTATGAAGGAGGGGTCCTGCCAAAGACTGCTCAGTATATTCCAATTGAATAACTTGCAGATAATAACTTGCAGGAGCGCCGCGGTGGCGAGATGTTAACTACCTCGCCCGGTATGCAGGAGGTCATGGCTTTAACTGTATATTTGGAGTTTGCATGTTCTCTCCGTGGTTGTGTTGATTTTTTTCTGGCTCCTCCGATCATTCCCTCCAAATTTAGAAACATGCGTTTATTTTATTCGGCTGCTACACATTTCCACGTGATGAGCCACTTCGTTGAGCTATCATTTGTGATAGCCAGGTCGTTTCTGAAAAAGAGTTACATCACTCAGTGGGCCTTATTTGGTAAAAAAATAAAAAAGATTAGAATAATCTTCAAAAATTTGTTTTTATGAAAATAACGCCGGCAACACAATAGCCTACACTTGCGAATGACATCACCAGATAGTGGCGGAGTATGTTATGGGAGTAACCAGGGTGGGCCCGCTGGGTTCGAACCCCGCGACGCTCTGCAAACTTTCCTACGGCTGGATCGTGTCAGCGCCATTGTCTCAAATGCCCCCGCGAGATGTACTGCAGTGGGAGGCGCAGTCTAAACAACAAAATCATTACAACGAAGACGACGACGATGATGAAATTCAACTAATATTCGCTTATTAATTGATATTCACGTACGGAATAATTCCATCATTAACATTTATTATTTACGCCGTGCCTCCCAATGCAACGCATCTCAAGGCGGTGGGTAATGAATAAAACATGATGATTATTCGATGCAACGAAACAACATCAGCTCAGCAATCAATATCCGTCGATATTCACGGTGGAGTCTGAAAAAAATATTTTTCCTCGCCCGAATTCAGGTTCGGAGTGTTGGGCGGGTGGAGGTGGGTGGGTGGTGCTCCCGAAATAATTCCATGATCAGCCGTCTCTATTAATCATCTATTCATCGTCAAGACACCTTCACCACGATTGCACCACCACCACCATCAGCAGCAGCAGCACAAACTGCATTGAGGCGGCGGCGTTGCGCGGTGCCCCTCTGTTTTATGAATGGACAACCCCGCGTGACCGCGGCGCAGCCAATGGGAGCCGCTCTCCTCGCGCGCGCGGCTGCCCGGGGCCAGGCCTCCGCGGCGCACGAAGCGAGCGGGCGACGGCCGGGGGCCGAGGGGGCCCACGGGGGCCCTCGGGGGTGGGGGCACCGGTCGGGCCCCCCCCCTTCCCCGCAGATTTTCCTGCTCCCCTCCTCGCTACCCACCTCACGATCCCCCCCCTCCTTTACCCACAAACCACCGCTGCCACACACAACACACAAAAAAATCCCCGCCGCTCGGCGGTGGTGGGCGTGGAGCGGCGGCGGCCGCGCGCATTCACAAAAGCCGGGGCCCGGCCGCCGTCGTTTTGTGAATGAGCGCCGCGTTAATTCATCACCGAGGCGAGCGAGCGCGCGCGCGCGTTCGTTCCCGCGGCATCTACCACCACTAAACCACAACCATCAGCGACAACAACAAACACAACCAACAACAACAGCCATCGCCCGATTTTTATTCGCAAAAAATATTTTTTGTTTTGCGTTTGCACGATGATGCAATCGTCGTTCATCATTATCATTACCGTCATTATTATTCGCGTGTTGTAATTGAGTCAGGATGGTGGTGGGTGGGGGGGTGCACGCGAGGTGGGATTTTGGTGTTTTTTTTTTCTCTCGTTCTCTCGCCCGTGGCGGCCTGGGCTCGGGTGGTGGTGGTGGTGATGGTGGTGGTCGTGATCGCGATGGTGCCGAGCTCGAGGAGGAGGAGGCGGCGGCCTCGGGTGGTTTTTTTTGTGAATAAAAAGAAATGCGGCGCAGTCATGAATGAAAGAGAGAGAGAGAGGCAACGGGTTCCCTCTCGCAGGCTACAAACCCAGACGTCTGCACCGCACGGACATCGCCTAAACGACATCGGCTACATCATGCATCGACGCCGCCGTCACTAGCATTGGCATCGTCACTACCATCGGTAGATGCAGTGGCACCTTGACCACCATGTAATGTGGCCATGGGTTGGTCCCCCCATCATGACTCAGGTTACACACTCACACCAGCTGGCTACATCTCACACCACCACAATCATCACCTGCATCATCACTGCTGCCATCAGGAGATGCAGCAGCAGCAGCACGAGCAGAACGTCACTGGCGGTGTCAACCAGCACCATCAACAGAAACCCATCATCATCTTCGTGGGATGTGGCCACGGTTTACCCCCTCATAAGCAGATTACACGCACCACGGATATCTCTCAAATCAACCCCCATTAACATCATCTGCAGCAGCAGCAACACCAGCGACATCGACAACGCCGAACACAATCACGAATGAGCCGCGGCTTTTCCCTCACCGCACGGATTTCCCATCGCTTCACACCGCCACCATCAACAACAACCACCATCATCATCATCAAACAGCACCGGCAAAATGCCATCGCCACCACAATCACCTCGTGCAATACAGACTCCCCCATGAACATCGCCAGCAAGCGATACCATCACGGGCCGACATTATGAACACCCCGTGTGATTGATGATCGGTTGTCCACATCCAACAGCAGCATATGATGCCACCAGCAGCAGCAGCGTCAATACCATCAGGATCCCTCGGCAGAAGTAGCAGCAAAACAAACCACCATCTCCATCAGCAAATATCACCAGGAGTCGGAGCAACATCCATACCATCGCCAGCAGCAAAAGCGAACACCATCGCCACCACCATCAGCATCATCCATCACGACTCCCATTACCGTCAGCAACATCACTACCATCAGCTGGAAACAGCAGTAACGGCAGACGTAACGACACCAAGAATTGTGAATGACTCCCTCACCACCATCGACACATCACCAGCACCAGAGTACGGCACCATCAATGGCTGTAGCAGAAGCACCATCATTAGGAAAATAACCTCACAACCATCACGAATTCTCCCTTCACGGGTCCCACCACAACCACCATCGCCACCAGCAGCAGCAGCAGCTATACTCTAGCATACACAATCACCAAGACCATTATGAAAAGATGGATCTCCCCGCAACAACCACCGCCACCATCATCACCATCACTAACAACGACATCGCCAGCAGCAGTACCATCATCACCACCAACACGTCCATCACCACCAACAGCGACGACGGTAGTAGGCACTCGTGCGGCGTAGAACGTCGCGAATTCCAGCGAAAATAAACGACAAAAATAGGAATGATATTAGCAGTGATGAGATGGTGGTGGTGGTGATAACAATGGTGTGTGAAGGTGGTAACGATGAAGATAACGATGATGTGAAATTGGTGATGTAAAGCTGCTGGTGGTGGCGGTGGCGATATGAATGAAGGTGGCTGCGTAAAGGTGGTGGTGGTAGGTGGAATGATGGTGGTGGTGATGTGAATTTGGTAGCGATTGTCATAATACCATTACTAAATTGCAAAGGTAGTGATGGTACAATAGTGATGTGATGATTGAGATATAACTCGTGATGTGACAGTGATGGCCGACGGTTAATAATAATGCACGGTAGCAATTCGTGCAACGGTAACGTTAAGATAAGGTGACGGTGCTGATGGAAAGTGGTGGTGGTGGTGGTGATGGTGGTGATGTGACAACGTGGGTGATGTCCGACTGGTGGCGACAATCGGTGACGAACAGCCGCTGATGTGAAGCTGATGCTGGTGGTGGTGTGATGATGGTGGTGATGGTGATGATGGTGGTGATTGTGGTAGTGGTGTGGTGCTGATGTGAAGCTGATGCTGGTGGTGGTGTGATGATGGTGTGATGATGGTGGTGGTGGTGATGATGGTGGTGATTGTGGTAGTGGTGTGGTGCTGTTATGATGATGGTGATGCTGGTGGTGGTGTGATGATGGTGATGCTGGTAGTGGTGTGATGGTGGTGTGATGGTGGTGGTGTGGCGATGGTGGTAATGGTGTGGTGATGGTGGTAGCGGTGTGGTGATGGTGGTGTGGTGGTGGCGATGGTGATCACATCCACTCACTCATCTGGAAGAAGCTCTTCGCTCATGTTTCACGCGGCCGCGGCTCTCATCTTCTCGGGGGGCGCCCGGCGGGGCTGGCTCGGAGCTGGCCGCCTCGCTCGCCTCTCTGCCTCTCTCTCTCGGCCTCCACGGCCAGATGATGACGAGGACGAGGATGAGGTTGATGGTGAGGAGGAGTGCAGGTCTCGGTCTCCCCACCTCCGAGCTCACGGCTGGAGGACACAAGGCACACGACTGTCCGGGTTGCCTTGCTGTCCGCTGTGTTGCTATGTTGTTGATCTGCTGCTACTGCCCTCCCCGCGTCTCTTCCTCACGCTGTTGTTGTTGCTGCTGATGATGCTGCTGCTGCTGATGATGGTGCCGCCGTCGCCGTTGCTGATGCTGATGTAGTCGCGCTGGCCGTATGCTCCATCTTGCCGCTCCTAGGGCTGCACGAAGGACGCGAGGAAGGACCGAGGGAAGGAAAAAAGGAAGGAAGAAGCGGAGGGAGGGAGGGGGATGCGGGAGGAGGGGAGGGGAGCGCGGAGGACGGAAGTGGAGAGCGGAGATCTCACAGCCAGCACGCTCCCTGCCTCTCCCCCCCTCTCTCCTCTCTCTCTCTCTCTGCCTCGCTCACTCCCCCCGCCTGCCCCGTGTCTCCCTCCCGGGGTCCCCTCCCCGCGGGCCTGGCTGATGACAGCGGAGGAGGAGGGTTTGATAGTGGGAGGTGATGGTGCGTGGTGGAGTGTTGACGTGATGGAGGGTGGAGGATTGTTGTGGTGGACATGGATGGTGGAAGAGGGTGGTGGTGGTGGAGACGGGTTTATGGTGGTAGTCGAGGATGACTGACGGTGGAGTAGAGTGGATTCTGGGAGAAGGTGATGGTTGGTGATGGTGGTGGAGAGTGGTCGTAGAGTATTGATGGTGGTGGTCCACCAACACCATGAATGAGTGGTGGCACAACGCGTTCGCGTGCGCTGATCCTGTTGAGGGGGTTAGATGGTTGTGTAGGTGGAGGATGATGTTCTGATTATTTTTGAGGCGAAAAAAATGGTCTCCGCTCGGAGCATCTATGGAGTCTCGCAATACCGTGCAGTGTGGAATTTCGGACGGTCAAAAGAAGTAACATTGACACTGATGTGTCCGTTTTGTCAATCCACTGCTGGATGAGGGAGGGACCTTCCCACGCCGTGCGCGTTGTGTGCGATATGTTCCGATACTTCACGCCGGTCAGTGCGGATCGGCGATGTCGCGGGGGGGGGGCATAGGCGTACAGCACAGCGGTGAATCTTTCTACACTGCCCTCTGCTGACAGCAACGTCGCCCCCACAACCACGGCGATGCGTGGGTCCAGGGTCCCCCGTTCCAAGCACTCGCCAGGCCCACAACGCTGACGAGATCGCATGGACGCTTCCTTGGGTGATTTGGTTACACACGCGGTCACCAGAATTCACCCCGGACTCGCCATCGTCAACATTAAAATATTTACCAACAAGATCAAGATCTATTCTGAACACGTCAGCAGCACGAGACGATGAGCATCAGTGGACGTAGCGTGCCTGTCCTGGGCCCTCCAACCTTGTCCACTCGGGGCCCTCCGTTGGCCTCCCTCTGTGCAGTTGCACCGCCTACACACTTTATTGCCACACCACTGGTGTTACAGACAATTATAATGCTATAATAACGTGCTCGAATTTATGAAACTAAACTTGTTTTTATTTAACAGATAAGGCCCACTGAGCTATACAATTATTTTTCATAAGCGACCTGGCCATCACAAATGATAGCTCAACAAAGTGGATTATCATCACGTGGAATGTAGAGCAGCCAAATATTTGAAAAGCGTCACGTTGATTCTAAATGTGGAGGGAGGCCCCGGAGAAAAATCCACGCGACCACGGGGAGAGAGACACGCAAGCTCCAAATATACAGCTGGCGTCAGGGTCGGGATCCAACCCACAAACTCCCGTACACCAGGCGAGGTAGCCACCGTAGCGAGATGTTATATTGCGCACATAACGCCTGGGGCCTTCTCAGAGTGCAGTCATTTTTATCCGAGGGAACACCCTCATGGCACCTTGTTCCCTGTTGATAGTTAAGATCAGGAACACACCGATGGCTGCCAAAGGGTGAAACAAAAAATTAAACTTTAGCATAAACGCCGCAGCTGTAACCTGCGCAGCAGCGCGCAACACATACACACACATCTGCAAGCGGTTACAACTCTGCCAGGGGTATGTACGTGTGTATGTGTGGTATTTATTTATTTCCTGTCAATTAACCCAGCTTCTGAAATTAGACCCCCCGACCCCTCCCCTCCACTTCCTCTAACAACCACAGCCACCACTAAGCCCACCCCCTCCACCACTACAGCCACTCATGCACAGCCCAGGCCAGCCACCAGGGGGAGCCACACCGCACGTGTGATGAACTCCAGGGCAGCGTGAGGGTGATGTCGGCTGGCTAGTGTGATGGGTGCTTGGGTTGCCACCTCTCCGGAATAATGGCCATCGATGTTTCCGGTATTATGAATCGATTGTACCGAGATCTCACGGTGTAGCGTTTATAATTTGGTGACGGTAAGCTGCAGTTTTCAACATGTATGTTGAACTTCTACATCATGGGGCCTCCTTGCCAGTACCAAAATATGAGAATAGGGTTTTCCCCTTTTTTCTGTCAACAAAACAGGTCTTAAGATGTTAAAACACCAAACTGAAACATTTTACAACGAAACAGAGGACAAGGAGATAGAAGTGGAACAGCATGGTGGTGGTGTGAAACAGCATGGTGGTGTGGAACAGCATGGTGGTGGTGTGGAACAGCATGCCGGTGGGGTGGAACAGAGTGACGGTGATTGGTGTGGAATACTCACCCAGAGGCGGAACTATGTCGGGGGGTACGTGACAGCGTTACGCGATGCACAGTGGGCCCAGTCGGCCACAAGGGGGGGCCCCCGAATCAACAGATAAACATGTTAAGACAAACAATCTTCAAAATAAAATATTCCAACAATTAACAATTAATGACAAACAAATATTTTTTTTTACAAATGACAAGAAAAATGTTTTTCGAAAAATGAACACAGCGTCAAATCTCGTGGCGCTACTGCTGGTGTCAGTTACTGAACACCGCTGGGCCTCATAACACATTCCTGCGGAGGGAGCTGGTAGGAACGTTGGGTTGCTCGGTCAATGGCCAGGGTCAACGGCGGCGTGGTGTATTCCGCAAATATGGCCGACTGTGAGGGCGGGCACAAGCCGGCGTGAGTAGGTTAAACGTTGAGTTTTATAAGGGCACCACGGGGTGACCAGCCCCTCCCCACCCAGCCCCACCCCTCCCGCCCCCCACCCAGACCCACCCTCCCCACCCAGCCCCCCCACCCTCCCCTCCCCACCCAGCCCCTCCCCTCTCCACCCAGCCCCACCCCTCCCATTTTTGGATGCACGACGGACGGACGGCCACAATAATCCCCTGGGGGCTGGTGGAACCAGGAGGTTCCTACCAGTATTATTGGATCTTTCGGTAAATGGGTAGCTGCGCCCCTGCACTCACCACTCCGGTCAAGGTGTTCCACACAAGAGCGTGATGATGGTGATGATGGTGATGATGGTGATGATGCAGGGCAGTTGCGATGTGCAGCACTGTGACGGCGCAGTGCCGTGCGTGATGGACGGAACGCGGCAGTGATCCGCAGAACCGAGATACACAGCGGTGGTGCATCCTGCTCAACACTTGAGAGGGGACACGATGTTTTGCTTTCGAGAGCAGTCATTTCCACGAACAACTGCGATTGCTCTAAGTTAAGTTTGCATCGTGTAAAGTTGCATGCATTTAAAAATAGAAATATACATCACGAATTGCTATTTTAATGGAAATTTTATTCGTAAAAGAAACGCTCACTGTCACAACCTCCGATTGGCGCGGTTAGCTGCGTACGGTGCGAAAGAAGTTCAACACATGTAACACATCTGCCTAAACATATTAAAGGGGGGGGGGGCGACTGCTCCCTTGACCCTCCCCTGGCTGCCACGGTGGCGAGATGTGAACTACCTCGCTCGGTATATGGGAGATCGTGGGTTCGATCCCGACCCTGACGCCTGCTGTATATTTGGAGTATGTGTGTCTCTCCCCATGGTCGCGTGGATTTTTATCCGGGTCCTCCGGTTTTTCCCTCCACGTTTAGAGTATGTTTTTTCTGCTCTACATTTCCACGTGATAAGCCACTTCGTTGAGCTATCATTTGTGATAGCCAGATCGCCCCTGAAAAAAGAGCTACACAGCTCAGTGTGCCTTACTTGGTCAAATAAAAAAAAAATTGCATACAACATTTGCAAATCTAAAAGCATCAATTGTCACGTGAGAATTTCTGGCCACTTTATTTCGCAGAATTACTGAAAAATTGTCCTAAACTGTAAAATACACTCCTGGTTTTTTATTCCAAAAAATGACAGGCGAAATTAAGAATTACTGAACGGGTATGAGGTGTTTTGGCCCCACCATCCATGCATTCCAGACTGAATCTAAGACGTTATTTTCTGATAACTTATGAATATCTGAAAGCAGTTCAGTTTTAAAGGGAAATAGTTTGATTGCGCCTCTGATGTTCGCGACTCTGTGACGGTGCTGTACCGCGTGACGGCAACACGTGATGACGGCACGTGATGACGGCACGATGGTGCTGTACCTTGTTCTCTGTCAATACTGTTCTCAAGGTATCGCCAGACCGTAACGGTATTGAAAAATCTGGCAAATAAAGTGCAGATCTTTGGGCAATTGCCTTGTATAAATTTGGCGATATCTCCATATATATAAAATAAAAATTTGTGAATATTTGTGTCTGTTCAAAATGTTTAGCGTACTTCCCGACATGCGACAAACTTGAAATTTGCTATGTGGGTACTTTCCAGACTGTACACCATGCAAAATTATAAAAATAGACTTTTGTATGTTTTTTTTGGGGGGGGGGGGGGGGACGCAATTATGCATATATTTTGCATGGCAAGTGAGCTGTGACGACACATCTGTCATCAATTATTTAATTTAATTTATTATTTTATCTTTAGACGTGACTTAACCGAAAGAACCAAATAATCATCTGTCATGTGACCCGTGTGCGGAAGCGTAACGGAGTGTGCCTGCTGATGTCACCCCCCCCCCCAACCCTCCGCGGATAAAGTGAAATACAAATGTGTTGCAGGTCTAAGGCGTTCTTCGCGCAGCGTTGCTGCTTTATTATTGGAGTCGTTTACTGCCGTACGCACCCTGAAAGTTGTGTGCGTTTGCTGCAAACGCGTGTATGTGTACCTATGGACGCGCGCGCGTGTGTGTGTGCGCGCGTGTGTGTGCGCGTGTGTGTGTGTGTGCGCGCGCGTGTGTGTGTGCGCGTGTGTGTGCGCGCGCGCGTGTGTGTGTGCGCGCGTGTGTGTGCGCGTGTGTGTGCGCGCGTGTGTGTGCGTGTGTGGGGGGGGGAGTGGTAGTGTCGTGGTTAGCGCGCTGCGCTATGAACCCGGCGACCCGGGTTCGATTCCTGCTCACGGCCACCACTGGTGACGATTATTTGAACCGGTCCTGGGCCTCCCCTAGGTCGACTCAGCCTCAAACGAGTAGTAACTGATGTGGTGTGTGAACATCGCCACTGGGGAGACGAAGGTGGCTGGGCGTGGTGAATCCAAGTCCCGGGCGAAGCCGGGTAGGAAAGCTCGTATAATATACATTCATTTGTAACCCCCGTCCCCTACCTCCCCTACTGTCGTGTTTGCCTTTTAAAAACAGCTGTGAAGCTCAATGGGTTATTTACTCGCATAATAAACTTTCCGATTCTGTGTCGTTGGAAGCGTCGTCATCAATCGCGGCTGTAAATGAGGGTGCGGGTGATGTGTGCTGTGTAGACTTTACCGAAGGTGCAACATCCTGGTCATCTTTTAAATACTTTACTGCTCGCAAAACCGTTGCCCCCCCCCCCACCCGCCCCCTCTAAGCACATACAACCTGGATATGGACTCTGGACTCATTGTTATCACGAGAAGCCAATGAAACACGCCGCCCTTTGGTCCCCATTGGGGGCCGTCCATAAATGACGTCACGCACCTGGGGGGGGGAAACATTTGTGACGATGTGTGACGAGGGGGGGGGGTTGAGAAATGTGACGTCACATCAAAATGCGCAACTTTAAATAAATATAGACAACACGTTCTACTTAATTAAATAGACTTTTAATAAATGTTTTCTCCTACAACATCAGAGTGCAGCGCCACATTACATACGCACTACAATGACAATAGTTTAAAGCGATTCGAAGCATGTTTTATTTTCAAAATGTAAATATGGTTTTGGAGGGGGGGGGGGCAGAGCTTTGTGACGTCATATTTGAGGGAGGGTCTGACTTTTTGTGACGCTGTGTGACGAGGAGGGGGGGGGGGGTCAAAAATCGTTCAAAATTGCGTGACGTCATTTATGGACGGCCCCGTTGTGAGATTTCCGACGCGAGTTACCACGTGTTGACGCGCACAAGCACGCCCTGGGGTGCGGGCGAGAGACGAGATGTTAACTCCCTCGCCTGGTCGGCAGGAGGGCTGAACGATTTGGGGGAAATATCTAATTGCGATGTTTCTGACAGATATTGCGATTTCGATTTGATTTGCGATTACGTTTTTTTAAAAGTCAAGCTTCAGTTCAATATTCACTGTGTAATAGATTTAAAACATGTGACGGAGGATTACCACATGGTACCATCAAAATATCAACTGCTCTAGATATTCTAATGCAAGGATGATAACTTAAAACATATGAATTGCTTCAAACATGGATTTATTCAAATGTGTTAATTGAAACAGAACAATCAAACATCGAACAAGTGTTACATCTTGACTTAAAGCTTTCATGACTGCAGGAATTCATATTCTTTGGGTCTATCTACGTGGCGTTGCCGAAAGACTCAAAGAATAATAATTAAGTTAAGTAAAAGTTATAATAATAATAATAAAATAATTCCAATAAGAAAGTTATAGGACCTTTAAATCTAAAAAAGCGCAGCCTTTGCGATTTGCTAATCGCATTGTTTCAAATTGCGATTTCGATTTGAAATCGATTAATCGTTCAGCCCGAGTAGGCAGGAGCCCGTGGGTTCGATCCAGACCCGGACGCGGACGCCTGCTGCTGTATATTTGGAGTGTGTGTGTGTGCTCTCTTCTCCCCCGTGGTCGCGTGGATTTTTCTCCGGGTCCTCCCCAATTTCCCCCTCCACATTTAGAAACACGCGTCGAGAGTATTTCGCTGTGCTCGAAACGTCCACGTGATTAGCCACTTTTTTTTGTGGCCAGGTCCAGTGGCGGCTCCTGCAAAATCTCTCAGGGGGGGCAAATGTCTGGATGATTGATAAGGATAAGGTCCACCCATGCAATGGATAAATTAACAGCTTAAGCATGTAAAGGCAACTTCACTTCTTTAATATTAATGAAAAATAAAGTGACTCTTACAATACATCTTATTTGTTTCTATTCTCACTATGAATACAATCCACTCAAGTTTCTTTTATTAAAGATTCCACTAGGTGGCGACAAATTATATTGTTGGATGAAACGTGCTTACGCATGATGACGTAAGCACGTTAGGGCGAGCCCTCCCGGAAGCCATAGAGAATGCATTGCAGCGCCCCCCGGTCGAAAAAAAACATCTTTGAATGTAAGTCTATGGGGCCACTCGGGGCGATTCTCAGCCGGAGTGAAATCGCCCAAAAAGAGGCGGTACTCCACAGAACGTGACATGACGCTGATTGGACTATATCCAGAGGCACAGTGACGGCTAGCGTGACTCTGTGGTTGAATGACATTGGTGGTGCGTCGCCCAATCACCCTAATGAAGAAACCGCCCCTGGCCAGGTCGCTTCTTGAAAAATGCGCCACATAGCTCAGTGGGCCCTTACCCGGTCAAATAAAAAAAGTGGATAAAGTTTCGTTGGTTCACGGCCCTCAGCGCGGTCTTGAGAAGAACACTTCAAGGACACCGAGCCACCGCCGGTCCCGTTACCTCCAGCGGGTTCGACGTCTCAACTTGGCCAGGTAACGATGAATCAAGGCCGTAGCCATGGAGTCAACATTGGGGGGGACCAAATCTTCCAGGGCGTCTGGGGGTCCCAACCCAAAAAAGTATCTAAATTTTAAAACTATTTCCTGCCTAAAATATTTTAAAAATTCACTAACACTAGTCCATATATTGTGGCCAAGGTTTAGCAAATTGTTGTTTTTATTTACATAGCATAGCAATATATATTTTATAGCATTATATTGGGAGGGACATTTTGAGTATATTTGAATATTGGGGGGGATGTATTATAATTACGGCCTTATTATTAGTAGATGTTTTTTGGTTAGATCGCGTAAATGTGTCGTAATATGTAGTCATATTTTTTGACATTAACCTCCACACCTCCACCTCGTCTTCGCACCCGATTGGCTCAAGTGATGACATCACCTTTACGCTCTCATTTAAAACCGAAACAGGAGGGCTTCTTCACAATTCTGGCCATCGCCTGATAAAGCCGGTTGTATACTCGCTGGCGAAACGTCACTCGAATTGTAAATGTTGTGGGTTACCTCCACAACACACCGGGTGTGTTGTGGCTTTACTCCACAACACAGCAGTGTGTTGTGGGTTTACTGCACAACACAAGCGGTGTGTTGTGGGTTTACTGCACAACACACCGGGTGTGTTGTGGCTTTACTGCACAACACAGCGGTGTGTTGTGGGTTTACTGCACAACACACCGGGTGTGTTGTGGCTTTACTGCACAACACAAGCGGTGTGTTGTGGGTTTACTGCACAACACACCGGGTGTGTTGTGGCTTTACTGCACAACACAGCAGGTGTGTTGTGGGTTTACTGCACAACACAGCGGGTGTGTTGTGGCTTTACTGCACAACACAGCAGGTGTGTTGTGGGTTTACTGCACAACACACCGGGTGTGTTGTGGCTTTACTGCACAACACAGCGGTGTGTTGTGGGTTTACTGCACAACACAGCAGGTGTGTTGTGGGTTTACTGCACAACACACCGGGTGTGTTGTGGCTTTACTGCACAACACAGCAGTGTGTTGTGGGTTTACTGCACAACACACCGGGTGTGTTGTGGCTTTACTCCACAACACAGCAGTGTGTTGTGGGTTTACTGCACAACACAGCAGTGTGTTGTGGGTTTACTGCACAACACAGCAGGTGTGTTGTGGGTTTACTGCACAACACACCGGGTGTGTTGTGGCTTTACTGCACAACACAGCAGTGTGTTGTGGGTTTACTGCACAACACACCGGGTGTGTTGTGGCTTTACTCCACAACACAGCAGTGTGTTGTGGGTTTACTGCACAACACAAGCGGTGTGTTGTGGGTTTACTGCACAACACACCGGGTGTGTTGTGGCTTTACTGCACAACACAGCGGTGTGTTGTGGGTTTACTGCACAACACAGCAGGTGTGTTGTGGGTTTACTGCACAACACACCGGGTGTGTTGTGGCTTTACTGCACAACACAGCGGTGTGTTGTGGCTTTACTCCACAACACAGCAGTGTGTTGTGGGTTTACTGCACAACACAAGCGGTGTGTTGTGGGTTTACTGCACAACACAGCGATTGTGTTGTGGCTTTACTCCACAACACAGCAGTGTGTTGTGGCTTTACTGCACAACACAGCGGTGTGTTGTGGCTTTACTCTACAACACAGCGGTTGTGTTGTGGCTTTACTCTATAACACAGCGGTTGTGTTGTGGCTTTACTGCACAACACACCAATATGTTCGTAATGAATCGGCATTTTTGGTTACGCGACAAACCTTGCCAATTTGCTGTGACGGGTGGTGGCGGGTTTAACGACATATTTATATTTACGCGATCGAACCCAAAAACCTCTTATGGATTGGCCAGGCACTCTTCAGTTTCATGATAGAATAACTCCCAGGACAGGCGGGATTTGCTTAATTTGCATAATGTATTCCCCGAATGTTATCCCGATTGTGCAATCAGCGTCGCGTCACGAGACAAATAATCCATTTGTCTCGCAGAGCAATGAGCCCACCTTCGTGGTTCAGAAGGGCCCAATGAAGCAAATAGGAGATGCCTCTGATGTTCCTGACAGTTGGCTATGTACGGTGCAAAAGAAGTTAAACATACCTACATACACTGGTTCACACAGTAGGGGACGGCACTTCCCTTCCTGCTATATTTGATTCTGAGAGATGGAATTTAACCAAATTTAAGTGCGTAACCAAATTGAACGCGATGGGGTTTTTGTTCAGTCATTAATGACCACCAAATCTGAGACCAACTCGAGACCACCAACTCTGAGACCAAATCTAAGACCACCAATTCTCCACCAACTCGCTGCCACTAAGAAAACCAGTTTCATCGTGGACAGTCAAAACCTGGATTCTAATGATCTCGGCGGTGCCGACGCGGCTCTCTCACCTCCGAGCTGCCCGGCCATCTCAAGGCAAAATACATTTTAAGGGAGCACAAAATGCTTGCAGTGTAGATTTCTGATCTTGGAAAGGAAGTATTCTGCATTGCTTCAAGCATGAATCCAAGTTTGACTTGTTACCGCATCACACATCTAACGGGCTTCACTTCCACGTCACGAGATTCAGAATGACAAGATTTCCAAAGGTCGGAGTAATTGTTCATCAATTGCTTCGACTTAGAGAGGCGTCAAAGTTCAATGCCGTGTTCTGTCAGCACAATAAGATAACAAGTTCGATCATTCCCGTTGTTAAAAATTCCCACAAAGTACCCGCTTGTAATCTTTTAAACAGTTTTTTTTATTGTCATTCCATTGCATTTATCGTCTTTCTCACCCATACAAAAAACGGTAAGAAATGGCAAACAATAACGAGATTGTGTGTGTGTGTGTGAGTGTATGTGTGAGTTGCGCACAGAACACAAAGCAAAACTGATCTGGGCTCCGATGGATCGCACTTCCCTGCAGCGGTTAGCGCGCTGTGCTACGAACCCGGCACCCCGAGTTCGATTTCCGCTCACGGCCAACACCGGTGACGATCATCTGAACCGGTCCTGGGCCTCCCCTAGGTCGACTCAGCCTCAATTGAGTACCTGGTGTGGTGTGCAAATATCACCACTGGGGAGACAAAGGCGTCCGGGCGTGGTGTTGGCCACCCGCCCCCTCGTGTGCTGTGCCGACCTTCATAGGTGCTCGTTAACAGCACTTGCCCCAGCAGTCTGTTACAGGCTATACGGGGGATCTTTGTCTTTGTTTTGTGTGTTGCGTACAGAACACTTAGCAAAAACTGATCTGGGCTCTGATGGATCGCACTTCCCTGCAGCATTGTCAGGAAACCCAAAATATACAGCACAAACGGTTGTCATCCCTTAAAAAGATCTTATTTTATATCACAAAAATAATAATAATCACCAATGTTAAGCAAATAAAAATGTGACAGCGGTGGTTGTACCTTTGTAAATGGAATGTATCATTGGGCTTTACATGCCCAATGAAATCAACCTGCAACTAAAAAACACAAAACCCTGCAAAAATATTTGGATATGAAATGCAATGCAGATGTTGTACGTTTAAACCCTTTTTTTTTTATTATGGGGGGGGGGGGGTGAAGGGCCTGGGGGGGGTGGAAAGGCATAAAACCTCTCTTGTCAGACGTCGAGGCAGATTCGCGTTCGATGCGGTTAAGCAGAATTAAGTGGTGGAGTAGAAGTTTAAGCGATGTTAGTAAATTGATTATACAAAATTCGGGGGGGGGGGCATTTGACAGGCGGGCGTTGGAGGTGCAGCAGGAATGTCGGCGCGGCTCCCCCTTATCGCACGGCCACCCCCAGCTTTTCGAGCACCCGCGTGCCCTTCTCGTTGTACTCCTCCCTCGTCATCCAGAAGTTGTCCTTGTCCTTCATGATGTCGGCAAGCACCGCGCCGCCCAGGAACACCATGTGCTTCCGTCGCGGCGGGTCCTCGATGCGGATCTTGAATTTCTGCGGTGCCGCACATAAGAGATGGAACCGAGAACGTACTCTGTGTGAAGACATCTTTCAAGTAAATATTTTATTGGTTTACAGTTTGCCGACGACTCGTTTTTAGGTTTCACCGTGTGTTTCGCACCACATGCGCTGGGGCAGTGTCTTTTTCTTCAGGAGAAGAAGCTGCCTCAGCACAGGTAGCAAAACGTCTAAACATCATGCCGAATGACTCGCGGTACAACTCGCAAAACACATTGGAGAGCTGTACAAGCAGCACTCTGTCACAATCGCAAACTAATGCAGTAGTACGTCTTCCGATGTTCCCCAATTTTATTTTGACTGGGCCATCGGTGACATTGTGCCAAGATGAAGGATACCTCGCAGAGCAACACAACCCTCTGTGTTCATGAACGGCCCAAGGAAGCGGATGTCACAGAGCTACTTCTGAGATGGAGTAGAAGGGCAGCACCTTCCTACTCACTCTGCCACTGAGAATATTTTATGCACGACTAATCCAATTTAAGTGCAGGACCAATACAATGCAATGGGTTCTTTTTCGTGCAGTCATTGGTGTTCGGGCTGAGACCACCAACTCGCTCCACTTAAGAACCCGGTTTAATCTTAGTAGTGTCAGCTCAGCGTTCTGACTGACCTCTGAGTCACCCGGACCCACCTGGATTTGAACTCGCTAAACCTTTGACTGCGTGTCATATCATGTGACCCAACAATGATCCCTTCCTCGGGTTAAGGCCTACAATATACACAAGTGTAAAATCGTCACGCGTGGGTCAAAATTGACACACTTAATTCTCAAGAGCTGGAATTTTGACAAATTTAACCCAATTTTCAAATGATGGTTTTTTTTGTGCATAGCCTCTTGTGACCTAGCTGAGACGATCAACCCCTCTGGACTTGCAAACCCTGTCCAGATTCTTACACTGGCTAACCGTTGCCAGCTTAGCCACTCTGAACTCTGAGCCCCACTATCACCCAAATGTCATATAACTCCAGGCTACAAAGGATAAAAACCGCACAGCCCCTTCCTTTGCGGTGGCCTTTATATTCTACGAGAATGTCGCAAATACCCAATGCACATGTATATTTATTTATTTGCTTCTAAACAAACAATGGGCAGTTTTTAAATGTACACATATCCAACATGTCTTGTTGTTTGAGGCTGTAATACAACCGCTGCGGTGGTGAGATGTTAACTCCCTCGCCTGGTATACAGGAGGTCGTGGGTTCGGTCCAGACCCCGACGTCTGCTGTATATTTGGAGTGTGCGGTGTCTGTCTCCCCGTGGTCACATGGATTTTTCTCCGGATCCTCCGTTTTTTTCCCTCCACATTTAGAATCAATGTCGTGCGGTGTTTTAAGAGTATTTCGCCGCTATGAATTTCCACGCGGCGATGAGCCGCCACTTCGTCGAGCCATCATTTGTGATCGCCAGGTCACTTTTGAAAAAGAGCTACGCAGCTTAGTGGGGAGGCTTGCGCCCGGTAAAAATAAAATGTAGTCCTGCTTTTGTTTTACCCACAACCGTCGAAACGTAACGCTGCACTGCCAGAACATTCTGCCGTGAAACCCCGCGAGGCCATCGACTCGGGAGACGAGAGGAGCGAGCGAGCGAGCCGTTCGACGCCGTCGGAACTTACGGAGAGCTTGTCCACGTCGCCCTTGAGCACGCGCTCCAGGTACAGTTGCTTGATCTCGCGCTCCAGCCGCGACGGCAGCCCCGGGTACATGGTGGAGCCCCCGGACAGCACGATGTGCTTGTAGAACTCCGGTCTGCAGAGCAACAGGCGAGGGGACCAGGGTGGGGTTAACCACCTCGCCCGATATACACGAGGTCGTGGGTTCGACCCTGACACCTGCTGTATATTTGCAGTTTGCGTCTCTCTCTCTCCACGTAGATTTTCCTCCGGGTCCTCTGGTTTTTCCCTCCACATTTAGAAACACGCGTTTAAGAGTATTTGGCTGCTGTACATTTTCACGTGATGAGCCACTTTCGTTGTGCTATCATTTGTGGCCGGGTCATTCAATGGGCCTTACCTGGTAAAATAAAAAGTTATGTTTTTGTACTTGTTGTTGTAATGTTCTTACCTGCCTCTACTGGACATCTGTGAAAACCCTACTGGACATCTGTGAAAAAGAGCTTTATAGCTCATAGGATTCCTCCAGTATAAATAAATATCCTGATTCTGAGTCTGATTATAATTTTACTTTAGTATCTGTCACAATACAACGTGACCGCATCTCAAGATGCCTTACAGAAACAGTGGGCGTTTACAGAAAGAGGCAGTCGGTCAGTCACAGGCAGGGCGGAAGGAACAAATAAAATAAAAAGTCTCGAGCCTAAACTTGAACAGTGGCAGGGAGTTGACGGCACAGATGGGGCTGGGGGAAGAGAGTTCCAGACAATGGGGGTGGCAGAGGAGAGCGAGCGACTTCCCACCCAGCGAAGGTTGACTGGGAGCTGTGACGGAAAGCCTTGATTGCCGGAGACAGCGTGGAGGGGAGCAGAGTGGCACGAGAGGGGAGATAGGTCAGTGCATGGATGGGAGTGGTGAGATGAGAGGGGAGAGGTGGGTGAATGTGTGGAGTGGAGGAGAGTGAGATGAGAAGGGAAATAAAGGTAGGCAGAGGAGAGTCCACAGTGGATATTGAAGACAGTTGAATTGACCTGGGATTGCATTGGGAGCCAGTGGAGGGAAGTGCAGTATTGGGGTGACGTGGCCTATTTTAACAGGTGCGGTGGTGACGAGTCTAGCAGCGGGAAATTTTGATCATCTCATGCCTGGCACGTGGTGCAGAGTAATAAATGAATCGTATGAGCAGCACCAGCAAGGACAACAGCCCTGCTGCTCTTGCAATTCCAATGGGACAGGAGCGGGGCGGGACGGGACCCCACTATCAGTAGCTTCTGTTTACATTGCTCAGATCGCTCCGCCAATGCATTCTCAACCATCGAGGAGGGCAGTAAGGTTCCACCAAGCGCATCAACAGGAAGTTTCAAAGTTGCACCGTAGCGAGCGCCCAGAACCGGCACAAGCCGTGGTTGGCCATGGGCGAGCCGGTGCTGGTGAGGGGGCGTCAGGGCCACATTTCAGCCGGGTCAGCCGGGTGGGTCAGTAACCCGGCGGAAAAATATTTCAGCAACCGGCACACCACGATCAACATTCCTCTCACGTACGTTGAACTTTTTTCGCGCCGTACCGTATCCAACCGTGCCAATCGGCTGTGGCCAACTACGAGTTAGTTACACGCCACCGAATTCCAGTCTACCAGCGACCCGGCAAATATTCAGTGACAAGTAAAGCGCCAGAGTGGAGTGTATTTTGCAGGAAAGTGTTCCACACCTTGGAGAATTTCAATGGCACGACGTCTCATCTTGAGTTGCCACAAACCCAAGTCCGCAGGTAAAAATGTGCTTCTCCCCGACATCCCTCTGTATGAAAACTGCTGTCATCCGTTTCATAAAAAGCTAGCCTAAAAACCCGAGAGCTTTTGAAATATATCTCTGGGACCATTGTATGTGTGCCGTTCGCCTTTCGGCGTTCTCTGGTCTGACACTGATGAGACTAGGCCATGAAGAAGGCTGTCTCTTGTGTAGGCCAATCATTTTAAAAGACAATGCAAACATTAATTATCAGAGCATGTTTTTTTGATTGTTTTACCACAAGTACGTGTGGTTAATGCAGACTGCAAAAGGTATCTATTTGGTGTTTGAACATTTTAACACCGATTTTTTTTGGCCATAAAGTGTTGAATCTATTCCCATTCGTCATACTTTTGAAATGGGTTTGTACTACTGAACACATTGCAGCCACCTCCGTGGAGAAAGTGCAATGAGGAAGCCTGAGAGAGCAGGCTCAGGGCTGGCAGAAGTTGACTTACAACAATTCAAATAGAACAAAACACGTGGATTAAGCGCATTCGTAGAAGCGAAAGCAAGAAAAAGCGAGTTCTATGAGGAAGGGTGCGGTGAAAAAGAGAGAGAAAATTACAACATTTCTGCTCGACGACTTTAAAGGAAGCGGGGGCAACGCGCGCCGAAACGAAGAGGAAAACTCGAAGACGGGCAGCGCGGCGGGAGTTTAAGCCCGATGCCTGTCGTCAGGCCGAGGGCTGACGCAATAACACCTCCCCCCGTGGGCCTCCAGACACAGGCGGCACGATGGTGCCGGCGGCCCCGCGCGGGGTGCCTCACCGCGTGTCGATGTCGGCCGCCTGAATGGTGTTGAAGAGCAGCTCGGCCACGCCGACGCTCTCCACGTCGATGAGGTGGGGCTGGAAGAGGGCCTCGGGAGCCTCGAAGCGCTCCCCTCCCACCTTGATGATGCGTCCATCGGGCAGCTGCGGGAGAAACGATCGCATGTCATAATAATGACGCTGATAATAAATGAACGGATGATTGTGAAGAGTTAGGCTCGGCGTAAAGACGAAACGTTAACGCTTTCCCATTCCATTGACGTACATCGGAACAGAACCGGAATAAATAAATTAAACAGAATAACGTTGTCAATACCGAGGCAACCGCAAGGCCATGCGGGAGGGCGTGGCACAGTTTGGTACCAGCTATCGCAGGGCGCGGTCGTGTCGCTACAGTTCTCTGTGGCGAGTACAATGTCTTAAAAATACAACGGCGCTACGCCTCTCTAAATAAATTGAACGCTGAACCGCTCGCGCGTTCTGGGATTCAGTGGTGAACAGGACACCCCAACCTGCAACTTGCAACCATCTCGGAAGGGGAAAGAGTTAAAAACGCAACACAGAGTGGTTTAACCGGAGGTATAAACTGATAACTATTATTACCATTACGAGGAGCCTGTGATCTAACCATGACACACGATCTCATCACATCATGGAAGCTAAGCAGAGGAGTTCAGCCCGATGAGTGCTCGGGATGGCGCGACGCCCTCTTGCCGGAGGACACTCGGCGTTGCGGTGCGGGGGTGCGCGCGTGCAACAGACGTACGGTGTAGGACTCCACGAGCACCGTCGTCTCGAGCGCCAGCTTCTGCTCCTGCTCGATGTTGTAGCCCACGTAGCAGAGCTTCTCCTTCATCATGCGCACCGTCTCAAAGTCTGCCGAGTGGTTGAAGGCGTACCCGCGCAGCAGCAGGAGCTACGGCGGATGGGGCAAGCGGTGCGGACAACGGACGGGGGGGGGGGAATTATCAGCAAGGCCCAAGCGGTAGCGCGTTCGCCGCTCGTCGCAGAGGTCCGCAGGTTTTAATCCGGCAAGGCTGCCCTAGTTATTAATGCAGGGCGTAATAAATGTGCTATTGCACCAGTGAACAATGATGATTCGCTGGTATCATTGGAAAGTCGGCCATCGTGTTCTGGCGTAATGGTCCAAATTCTCCAAATTTGGAAAAGTTACACCGCAAATCACTTGGTTAACGTTTTGAATCCGTTCCAAGAAAACTACTGGTCATTGAATATAGTAATTACATTTCTGCCAAAACAGAAAACGCAATGCGAACAAAGCCAGTCGAGGTCGAAACGCTCATAAATGGGCGTCTCTGATTGGCCGAGGGCATGGCTCAGCCCCACTTACGAGCACTCGGATTGGCTGAAATTGACGCTTGCGTGCCTAACGTAAACACATACCGTTCATCAAAATGTTACCGTAAGGCGAAACCATGGGGTCCTATGGGAGGCGAAATGTTTACCGAAAACCCATTAACCGATGTCACTGTTAACTGAGGGACTACTGTATCACTTCGTGATAGCATTGCGCTATAATAAATGGTGCGAATACCAAATGTGCTAAATGATTATTGTAATTCATCATAAGCAGGCCCAGCTAGTTAAGGGTTCAGCCATTATACACATGTAATAAACACACTGATAATGCATTTAAGTGATATGCAGTCAAAAGTAAAAGCAGAGTTGTTGTGAGACTGTGATAGCCACGTACAGACTTGATAAGACGTGGACGGATAATGTTGAGTGCAATGGGAACTTCGACGAGAGTCAAATGACAGAAACATCTTGATCGCCGGGTGTGGTAATTCCGCACTCAAGAAACTTTTTTCACAGCAGAAACAAATTATGATCATTTCACGTTACTAAAAATACACACGAGTGAAAATAAAATCTTTAAGATTTTGTCAGGATAAACATGCAAAATCATATTTGTGCGACGCAGTAGCAGAGTGGTGATCAAATTTGCGCTTCTAATCGTGCAACCCGAGTTCGATTCCCGGCCATGAATAACATCGGTGGCGAGTCATATCTGGACCGGTCACAGGCACCGCAATGGACCGACACGCATTCACCAGCACGATGAAGTATGGTCAAACAAATCCACTATGAATGACACAGCTTGTAGAGGCCTTTGTCCAGCAGGTGGCTTGACAATGGGATGTACATTGTTCATTAGACATTATAATTAAAGATGTATTTGGTTAGGTCATTACAAAATGTATCTTACAACCCTTTCTCAATCCACTTCTGGATGAAGGTCTTCGCGGGCCACCTCAGTGATGAGTGTATATCGCCACTCGCCCCCCCCCCCTACCTTGATGAGGTAGCGGGTGATGTCACGTCCGGCAATGTCCAGGCGGCGGGTGAGATGGGGCAGAGAGAAGCCCTCGTACACAGGGCAGATGTGTGTGACGCCATCGCCAGAGTCCACCACCACTCCCGTCAGCAGGCCTGTGCAAACACAAAGATCCCCGTATATAGTAGCTTCTAACAGACTATTAGGGCAAGCACTGCTCGCGAGCACTTAATTAAGGCCGGCACCACGCCTAGTCGTGTTTATCTCCCTAGTGCTGATGTTTACACACTGCACCAGGTACTCTTTAAGGCTGAGTCGACCTAGGAGAGGCTCAGGACTGGTTCAGCTATTCGTCATTGATGTTGGCTGTGGGTGGGAATTGATACATACACACACCTATCCAAACACACAAATGCACACAGACACACATGCACAGATGCACACACAACCACATGCTCATAACAGCCTCCACCACACAAATGATGCACACAATAGGTTGCCAGTAATTTAATGCTATCATGGTCATGCAAACATTACCCCAGATATTAGAATGTGCTTTGGAAATATGCACATAGTCGTGTATAATATATAGTACAATATAATAAAAAAAGTTAACAGAACGCAAAGCTTTTAAGACCAATGTCAACAACATCAAACCGAGTAAGTTATTTTGATGGAAACCACACCGCTGAGAAACCTGGGTTCACATCCAGGAAGCTGTCTGTGATTAAAGCTGCTTTTTTACAAACATTGCAGAGTGGGTGGGGGAAGTGCTGCCCCCTAGTGTGTGGACCAGTGGTCACTTGAAGGGATCTCAGAAGTAGTTCCACGACATCCCCTTCTGCGGACCGCTTTCTAACACAAAGAGCTGCACTGGCTCTGCGAAATGGGAAAAAATAGTGTGCGTGTATAAAATACGTGGGAAGTGATAGTGTAGCGGTTAGCGTGCTGCGCTACGATCCCGGAGATCCGAGTTCGACTTTCGCTTACGGCCGACACCAGTGACGATTATCTGAACCAGTCCTGAGCCTCCCCAGGTCGACAGCCTCAAATGAGTACCTGGTGCGGTGTGTAAACATCGCCACTGGGGAGACAAAGGCGGCCCGGGCGACGTGCTAGCCACCCACCTCCTCGTGTGCCGTCCCAGCCTTCATAGGTGCTCTCTAACAGCACTTGCCCCAACAGTCTGTTAAAGGCTATACGGGGGATCTTTGTCTTTGTTGTCCTTGTAAAAATACAGATGTACTTCTTTAAGCGTGACGCGCGAAACCGCCGTGCTTACCTTGCGCGTAAAGTGTCAGCACGGCCTGAATGGCGATGTACACCGCCGAGAAGCCGTACTGCTCAAACATGACCTGCGAAGGGGATGACGGGCAAGACGACACTCCGTTAAAACCGTCATAGGCCACGGCTCCAAGCCCTCTTCATAGCCTATCGTCGTAATTCAGACGAATCGCTTTTATACCATCCGAATGTGCTGAATTGCCTTTCAAAACATTTGAAGAAAAATAATTATACTCCAAGCCAACTCATAGGTGGCGGCGTCCTTCGTGTAACCTCCGCACTCCAGAAACTCCCAGCAAGTCACACCAACTCACCCAGGCACTGCGATCGTTCCAACAACAACAACAACCGCCATTCGCCACTAAGTGGCAGTGACATCACCACGGTGCCAGGCTATGTGCACGTTGAGACCACGTGAAGTGTCAAATGCCCGCTGGCAGGAGGTCACGGGGCAGACCCAGGTGCTACTGGTCGACTGACTGAGATGATTAGCCGATGCAAAACCTGTGCCCCCTACTGTGCCAACTTGCTACGGTTTAGCCACCCGGCGCTCCGCTCGTTGTTGTGAGCGTCGCTCCTTTGCACTCTGTTGTTGCTGGAGGGCGACTCCCTCCAACTGCCCAGTAGCGTCCTTCACGAGCCTCCTCCACAGAGGCCGATCTTGACACCACTGGTACCAGTCATCGGTAAGTCCACTAAACTCCACACACTCCATCTCTTCTCTAGCCCGTGCCGCGCCCATTCCCGTGCTGAGGCTCAACATCCATTAAATTACATCCGCACAAACCACGGCAGATGCGGATACCTGATCCACAAATGGAAAATTAAAAACTCTCCAGCATGCGACCGTGGTCGTCCAGAACAGACCATGCAATGTATAATGACGCAATGCCTGATCCACAAATGGGAAGGAGACATCGTGGCGATACACCTGCATGTGAAATTGTATTCGTTGCTCTGCTATCTGCATCAGACGAACCGAAGAAAGAAGACTGTACTTTTACGATCTCTCACGACGACTTTGCTCCCTCCACACTTTCCCGAACCTGCACCGACCAGCCGAGTGAATTACGGTCACATAACTCCCACCACACGACCTACATAGCATGGGGAGTGGGCCCTATCCAGCAGTGGATTTCCATTGTATAAATGTGCAGTGACATGGAATGGGTCACTGCGTAGCATAGCGCGGGTTGCTGGCAGAGAAGGGGATCTGCGGTTGCAGCAGCCCTGACTCACAGCAGGTCACGTGACAAGCCAGAGAGAGGGATGTAGGGGAAAAGTGACAGAGGGGGCACGTGAGGGAAGCCCGGGAACCCGCTGGTAGGTTCTAGAAAGGGGGCGTGGTCGGGGTGGAGCGAGGCCACGCTGGGAGGATAAAAGGGGACCCCGAGCGAAGGTTTGGGGCTTTTGCTGCTAGAGTCTTCATCGTTGTCTTCACCTTCTCGGCATCGTCAGACAGTCTGCCAGCTGTTCTGACTGGGAGCTGTAGTTGCTTAATTGTGGACTGTGAAGGCTGTTAATATAAATAGAGTGCCTCCTACTCCTAGTGTCTCTGAGTGTGTCACTACAAATGTATCCTGCATATGTTAGAGATTTCAAAGATACGCATAAGTCATGTCGTTGTTGCTGTGCATGTGTCAATTGAACAATAAAGGGCTGCGTATGAACGTGAAACCCTTAATCCGTCGCCGACTCGGTCAGTGTATTATTTGGTTCTTTCGGTTAAGTCACGTCTAAAGATAAAATAATAAATTAAATTAAATAATAGCATACGACGTTTCGATTGCAACACAAGCAATCATCATCAGGTATAATGAAATAGCGACATAAAATAATTTATTATTTTATCTTTAGACGTGACTTAACCGAAAGAACCAAATAATAATTCCTGCAGTCACGAAAGTTCTAAAATTAAGATTGAACCACTTCTACGGGGAAGTTTTGAGCTTATCCTTTTTTTCTCTCTCTCTTCTCTCTGCCTGTGTCTTCTCTTTGGAATGTTCACACTTAAATTCTAACTTAGCAATCTTTGAAATACGTAATCAACCAGGCTATGCGTTAATTGTGTGTTGACCGACCCTCTGTGTTGTATTACATTACATTTCGATATTTTACTAGGTTATTGAATTTTAGTTTGTCCTTCTCCTGATTTTCAGACTTGCTTGCCGTGTCATCGCACTTGCAGAACCTTGTTTTTTGACCACTCATTGATATGCAAATGTTTTCTCTAACCCCCTCCCTCTCTCTGCCTCCTCCCCCCCTCTGTCTATTTAAGGCCACCCCACAGAGATGATCACCCCTCTCTGTTACCTGTGTTGCTCCCTCTATGTATCTTGGTGATATCTGTCTGCTAATATGTCTGTCTATAGTTTTCTGGTTAGATTTTATGTCGCTATTTCATTATACCTGATGATGATTGCTTGTGTTGCAATCGAAACGTCGTATGCTATTATTTAATTTAATGTATTATTTTATCTTTAGACGTGACTTAACCGAAAGAACCAAATAATAATTCCTGCAGTCACGAAAGTTCTAAAATTAAGATCAGTCAGTGTATCTCCCTAGGGGTGGTTAATTGTTTCCATTGTACACCGCCAGTGGGGCTCGAGCGTCGTCATTACGGCTACAGCGCGCGGCCGCCCGTACTTGCTCGGTGCCGCGAGGTCCCGGCGCCACCCGGTACGGACGTTGCTGTCATTTCCTGCGCGAGCGACAGGGCCGCCCCCTTTGCTGTGCTCGTGGTGGAGGTGGGGGGGATACAGGGGGTGAGACCTTCGCCACCGAACCCGTCGTGCCGGCTCCCTAAAGTCTTGTTTGTTAAAGGTGCTGCCCTGCGATTGCTCTGCAGAGGACACCCTCCCCACCCTCTCTCCTCAGGGGTACGTGCCCTACACTACCACACTGGCGACACGTCGTGCCAGAGGTGGGGAGTAACCCACACTTTACCCCAAACACACGTCACCTGCTGATTGACCGACTCTGACTCATGCCCACTATAAAAAGCAACGAATTGGACAAACGTCCCAGTGGCGCAGCCCGGCAATTGCTCGCTCACAGCACGCTGGCAGAAGAGCCTCCACGAGAGGAATCCCTGGAAAGCCCCTCTAGAGGAGTTTGGCCTACTCTTCCACACTGGCCAGGTGTCTGGGGGCAGGGGAAGGGTGGGGGAGTCCAGCGTGCTTGCTAACCGTTACACCACTGTGGCAGTAGCATCCAGCCACTGTTGCGTCTATCCACTGTGCTTTGCTTAGAGCAGATTTTTAAAATAATAATGAATTAATTGAACGCCGCACCCAGGACGGCCGCAGTTGAGAAACGAGGCGTTGCCGACCGGTGGAACTCAACTTCTCACTCACAACGGTGACATTTACGGCCAGGAAAGTAAGGTCGCGAGGTCAGCTGCCAGACCCCGACGCCACACCGCACCGCCTCCGATTAGCGCGGTTGGCTACGTACGGTGAAAACGAAGTCCAACGTACATACGCGCACATTCAACAGACCGCAACACCTTTGCGCAAACGGACGAACGAGGAATGCACACTGCACGACAAAAAAATAACCCCCCCGCACGCATTTCACGATCGACCAGGTGCCTTGCACGGCACGAACCGCCAGCTGCCGGCTCTCGCACGCACGTTTGTTCGTTCGTTGGGAACCGTTTAGCATTTTTTTGCTGTCCGGACCGCGCACTGGGAGACGGCAGTTTACGGGCGCAATTATATCCGACGGACGCATCGGTTTGTTTTGAAACCTGCCGAGCCGGGCCACACCCATCCCCGTGCGGGCGCGCGTCCCACACGTGGCGCTCCACTACCTGCAGCGCGTCGAGCCTACCCTACTGTACCCTATGTGGCGAAAGCAAGCACACGCACGGCAACACTCCGCACAACCGCGGCATGAATGGTGAACGCACAGACACCCCCGGCGGTCAAATATCGGCTAGCAGGGGGGGGGAGGGGGTCGGGTTTACGCCCCGGTTTGGTTCAATGCCAGGCTGCCAATCCAGGCGCGGATAAACCAATCGGGTATCTTGATCACGCTTTTGTAAATTCGTGCTCGTGTGTTTCTTGAATGCAGAAGCCGCATATATAATCACACCCCTTCGGAGCAAGGCTGTGTGCTTATATCTGCAGTGCGCTTGTATCAGAATCTGTCCTCTGCCTCCTCCCCCGCCACCGGTGTAACATAAGCATGTTGCCGACATAAAAACAGCGCTTGTACTCTACTCAGCATCAGCCATGGTCAATCGGCTGCTGGATGAAGGCCTCCTCAAGTCACCGCCACCTCTCACTACCCTCCCACATAACGACGTATAATGACTAGGCGTGCTTATATACAGCTTGGTACACGCACCACATTTATATAATCACCCGATTACCATCGGAGGGTTTCACAACGCGAGCAGCGGGGGCGGCGTGGCATCCGCGATGCGAGACCGGGGGAACACAACGTTGCTGGGCCAGAACCCCGACTTTCCACCCATGACATAAGCTTGCCAATGTAAGGGGGCATAGGTTGCCTCGCAGGTAATGCCCGTCCTGGCAACGCCCACCACACCTTGGCACGAGCGCCACTACCCCACGGGCTGCCATTCTAGGAAATGGCACGTGACTACAACTCGCTGTCGCCCTCCGTGCCGCTTTAGTAGCCGCGGAGTATTTGCAAAATCTTAACGATGATGATCATGCAACTTCACTCGGTGATTTTTTTTTTGATTCGCTATCACACTGCTTGCGGTACTCTCCTCCCCGTCACATTTACAAAACTATGTTGTCCATCGCTCAACCGAGGAGATGGGAGTGATAAATCGGTTCCGTTCATGAGTAGGAGTTGGATGGATTGTTGCATTGCAGATGGTGGACGCGGTTTGGGGAGGCTTTCATCCAGCAGTGGATTGACCATGGCTGCTGATTGATGATGACCTGTAAATCTTAATCTTGATTTGGCGCTTTCGTGACTGCAGGACACATCGACAGACACACAAGCAGAGAGAGACTCTCTGTCTCCCCTCGTTGTGTTGCTCTTGTTTTCGTGCGGTTGCGGGGGGCTCCTGGTCTCTCATTGACGTGCTGGTTTCTCTGCCCCCCCTCTCTCTCTGCCCCCCTCTCTCTCTCTGTTTGGGGCCTTGACATAGGGGCATTGTTTCTCTGTGTGCCTGTGTGTGTGTCTCTCTCTCTGTGTCTCTGTGTTGTCTCTCTCTGCTTGTGTGTCTGTCTGTGTGTCTCCGGTTCTGTGTTTTGTCTTTCTCTCAGGTTTGGCAATCTTTGAAGGAGCGTGGTCAACCAGGTGGCGAGTTGGCTGTTGTGTTGGCCTACTGTCTGTGTTGTATTGCATTGTATTTCTGGGTTTGCTGGGTTTGTTTTCTTTCATTTGTGCCTGATGGTGGTTGCTTGTGTTGCAATCGAGGCGTCGTGTACCTTTGTTTGATTTGTTGCTTTCTCTTTCTACATGGCTTTGCCGAAAGAACCAAAGAGCAATCTTAATCTGTCTACCTATTCCTTTTTCCTTCTACTTCAAACGACAAAAGCTTCACCAGGGTTTTTTCACCGTCATCGCACACCTATATCTATTAGCCAAATACACTTGACTTCCTGTCTTTCTATTACAGTTCGCGGTATTTATATTTGTTATACCACTGTCTCATCGTACACGTGTGTCGGCTCTACTGGTGGTCCACAGGCTACGCAACAGTCTTCTGTAGTACAACCGGGGCGGTGACGCGGTGATGCAGCCCAGCGGTAGTGAGTTTCACCGCTTCTACAGGAGGGTAATGCTGCTCGAATCTGGCGGCCGCCCTGGTTTAATAACTGCGGTGCGTTTGTAACCGGACGTCAAGGGTCCCCTGATGTCACTCGCAATGAATAGTAGAGCCATTGTACATTGGCGTCACGCTCTAGATTGAGAAAATAAAAATTACCCTGTAATTACTCAATTGGGATCGCGCATGGCAACTTCGGGCCCTACTGTAAAACTACTGCAGACTGAGCAAAACAGAGCGCCTTCCTTCGCGAAAGCCTTGCACCGCGAGAATGGCACGAACACCAAACGGACTCAATTACTCTTATTCAGAGAGTATTGCAAAACAGCCATTAGGTCATCGAGCAAATGGCAGCTTCTTCTTTACATACCGAATGACAAGTCAGTTTGCTCTCTTCCTGTTATTGCACTAACAGTTGTGAACTTGCAGCCGGTTCAACATTCCTGCCCCCCCCCCTCCACTGCACCAGTGCAAAACTCTTTTTTGGCATTTCGCGGCATCAATATATGATCGCATCTCGAGACGCTACGCAAAACATCTCGTGGACATTCAATTGCCGAGCGCACGCGCCTACAGGCCAAACGCACGTCAAGCGGCCAGCAACGAACGGCGACCGTCAAAGATGTAACAAACAAAATAAGTATAACCCGTAAAAACAAAGTTTTTCACTCTAAATCCTTTATATGCGTGGCAGCTAGAATCCTTTCGTCCTCTGGCTTGAGATGGCTACCACCTATGGGTCAGATTATTGTCTGCAGTATTAAACAATTGCTAATTAAATATTTAATTTGTTTTCCCTAAGCAGTGAAAAATTTTGGAAAATTTTTTCACGAACATTAATTGTCTCGCACAACGAGTCTGTGTGCAAAATGTCAGCTCGATTGGATCACAGGAAATGGGTTAAAAAACGACCGAAAGGTTTGCACGGTCGTAAGCGCGCAAGCAAGCACGCAAGCAAGCACGCAAGCAAGCACGCAAGCAAGCAAGCACGCATGCAAGCAAGCAAGCGAACTTAATATAAAGGATTTTAAAAAAGTGCGGCCTCTTTTGTAGATGTGAGCGGCGAGGTTTATCATTATGAGAGTGCGGGTGGGCGAAAATAAAACGATGGGAGAGGAAATTCCAAAGTCGAGCCGATACGAGCCACCCCCAAAATTGACGGTAGTTTTTGATTCCACGTATTTCGCCATTCAACAAGGTGACATGAATGCGGATCAAGCCAATGGCAGAATCTCAGATGGGCAGTAGCGCACGCCCAGTCGGCTCAGTGCATCCAGTAGCCAGTAGTTGTGTGGTTTTCATGTAACTATGGCAAAGAACAACTCCTCGTCTGTGACAATAACCACGAGCAGCTATACGCGAGAAGGACAGACAAACCCCCAACATCCACAGCGTGGCCGTGCTCCTGGTAAGCGGTGTAGTGTAGTTTGCAGCCGTTCCAGACTCCATTGACCCAACGGACTGAACGTGTGGGTTTTGAGACTGGAAAATTGCAGAGCCCTTGGTGCAGGTATTCGGTGATGTGACTGGAACCTCGCGAGGTGAAGTCATGGCCATCAGTTGCTTGTGAAACGCTACAGCGCCTCTGACAGCACCAGATGAGTTTCTGATACACAACCCCCAGGGTTGACAAAAGGCGATGCCTGGACACATCCTGAATGCAGTCGGGCAACATTCTAGGGATACTCACAAAAGGCTTATACTGAGATAAGATACATCCCAAATGTTATCCCAATCGTGCTATCGGCATCACGTAACAAGATGATTTCTCGACAAGAGAGATGTTATTTTTTGTGTCGTTTGTTATAACTTTCTGACCCATCCTTACTGGATCTATACAAAAGAGCTTCATAGCTCATCGGATTTCTCCAGGATAAATAAAGATTCTGATGTCAGAGAACAGCCCACTGAAGTGGATTCCAAGGAACTAACTCTGAAATATCTCAACATGATCAATACGTAATTAGCTTCCAAATATTTTAATTTGGCCAGGGCGACCACTGGGCACTGGCGAGTGCTATCGCTTGTGACCATCTGTGGCGGTGGATTTCTGCGTTGCGCTCTGGCCGGCTGACCGGTTCCTGCTTGCTCATGACCCGCCACGGAGGTCACGTGACCGACCGGCTGCTACGGGGAAGGAGCCGCAACTTCCCTTATCGCAGGAAAAAACGTGGCGTGCATAGGTGGCGATAAAAACTCGGCGTCGAATAGCGCAGGAAAGCAACTACCGCGTTGTGTAACTTCCCATCATTATATTTTACACCGACGCAAAATCTGCGTTATTAACATTCACCCGCACTGTGCACTTGTGGTGCCTGTGGTAGTATCTCATGATCATCGGCAGCAGCCATGTTCAATCCACTGCTGAATGAAGGCCTCTCCCCCAGCCGTCGCCATCTCTCAAAGGCCTGCGATGTAACATTACGCCATGGCTCAAGAGATAGCCACTGTCATTGCCCACGTGGCGCAGCAGCCGCCAAGGTTGTGGTCGTTAAAATAAACCTGCTCAAATGTTTTTGCGCTGCGCATGCCACGCCGAGACTGGAGGAGGGACGCACGTTGGGTTGCCAAAAGTCTGCGGGTTGCAATGCCAATATCACACACGTGACAAATGACAACATGAAGTATATGCGAGGACACGCGGACACTGCGATGGGGCTCTGCTTCGCTGTGAAGCTCCGAGCCAACACGGCCTGAGCTGTGAGGGCTGTGGCCAGGCGCGAGCTTAAAAGGCCACGCAGCAAAAGGCAAAACTGAAAAGTGAACAACGGCGTGAAAAGCGTCTCCGACGAGGCGGCTCCGGAGGTGGGGAAAGGGGTAGCGCCACGGGGCTGGGCTGCTAGTATTGGCTGGTACTAGCGGCTGGTTGGATGTTTGACTTGGGTTGGGGATTACGGTTGGGGTAACCGCAATCAGGCTGGGAGCAAAGTTAATGCTCGTGGCCAGTCGGTTAGTTGATGGGGGTCAAACCAGTAGCTTGGCTCTCGAATGTGGGCAGAGCAACTGCACCAGAGTCCACAGGCCGGAGGGGTTCAGGTCCCAGGTTACGACAAATGGGGGGGGGGGGGGGGGGGGGGCGAGATGAAATTCCTTGTAACATGGCCCCAAGTGGCCCACGGTACTCCATTGGGTTGGGGCGCTTCCTAGTAGCTGCTTAACTCGTCGCTACGTGTATGGACGTTTAGTATCCTCCATCCCCAAACCACTCGCTCCCACCCCTCCTCCACCATTCACAATGCACGGCCCCGGTCAGCTTTTCATCCCCCTTAAACTGTTGCAACGTTCACACCACTGCCGCCACCAGCAGTGCAGCGGCGGCGGCGACGACAGCGGACTCGCCTCACCTCAATGATCTTCTCGCGGTTCTTCATGGGGTTCATGGGCGGCTCGGTGAGCAGGATCTTGCACTCGCGCGTGTTCACGTTGAGCTTGTCGGGCCCGAAGGTGTAGTCCCACAGGTGCTTCATGTCGTCCCAGTTGCGCACGATTCCATTCTCCATCGGGTAGTTCACCTCCAGCATGGAGCGCAGCTCGCTGGCGTCGTCGCCCACCATGAGGTCCTGGAAGCAGGGGGGAAGACGGCACGCTCAGCCCGGACGCCGCCACGCGCTCCGCCGTACACAGTTTGTAAACAACAATAATTTTTTTCATTTTTTAACAGCTCTCATCTTGTAATTGGTGTGACTTTGGCTGTGTGTCGCAGGCCTATCTGACGCGAGTTTGAAGATTCTTTGTCAAGAAAACACTTTTGCAAAATCATAACACGTAAATAATCGTGAGCGTCGTTTGGGGGAGAATATAAGTAGCAAAAGTAAATAAGCAGACAATGCGGCCCGCTTATATCCTGGGTCAGCCGCAGCGTCACAGGCGTCTGGTGATACTGCTGCGTTGATGATGTGTTAAAATGTCCAAGGTGCTACGAAGGGACATGACCCAAAACGTTGCCAATTCTATTTTATATTTCTTTTTAAGGCGATGGTATTATCGATGAATGTGTGTTTAAAAAAATGTATGCATGGGAGTGACATCACTAGCGTGCAATGATTACACGCTTCACCGGCAGCTTATTTTTTACATGGTACATCTAAAATTCTTACTTTTTGGTTTTTGAAAGTTACTTGTCACGGTTTGTGAATTTGTTCGCCGATTTGCTGTAATTAAACTCCGGTATCCGTTGAAACAAGACAATCCTGGTTTAATTTGTCTCCTGCCTGGTTGGAAGTCAGGACAAAGGTGCAGCAATTGCTAACTTGGACAACTTCCGGCGGTAGCGCCTGCAACTGCAGGAAGCTCGAGGCAGCCCCTCCAGACGGTATTTAGCCTATTCTTCCAAAGTTGTCAGTAAATCCCATTTATACGACTGAATTTTACGAATCAGTTCTTCAAAGTCATTTCGGACAACCCAGGAAACACAGCCAAGGTGCTTATGTCTACAAGCGCTATTAATTTTTCTTGCGTGTCGTTTTTTTCATCCCATCCCCAATTGCCGCCAATTTCGCTTTTAATAACAAAAAACTAACTATTTTGTTGAATATTCAAACACCGTGCGCAAAACATTTAAAATGTTCGCTTTTGCTCCTGGAAAAGCAGGGGGCCGTGCGTCGGCATCGCCGGGAAAAACGTGCAACCCCCCTTCTGCCCGTCGCCACCATATCATGGCGGCTCTCCGACAACCCACGGCGGGCGTTCAACAATTCGCAGGCAACATCTATAAGGGCATCAGTCGCGGACAACAACATTGGCCGTCGGCTTTGCATGCACACCGCAAGGATTAGCAGTTGGGGGGATACAACCGAGCTGGGAAGATGTTAATGCACGGTTTTTTTTTCATTCGGCAGGCGTTACAAACACAAATCGTAAAAAAAAAAATTACGAAATGAGGAATTAATAAATCAGTGTGGGCGGCAAACAAGACCACTCAGTTTGTTACTTTATCGAAAATATAACAAAGCAACGGTCGTTATACGGGAGGGTTGTTTGTTCTTTTTGTCGTAAATTATGTACTTACCATCTTTCTGTTATTCTACTTCAACATGTGGATGAAGATGAAAAAGAAGATTAGGAGAACTACAGTGAGAAGAACATGTTTTGCATCAGGCAGCTAAAACAGCGAAAAGCTGGAGAGAGGGGGCAGGTCACAGCTCACTAAAGAAATAACACAGAAAAGTACAAATTAAATCAAAACAAAACAGAGAAAAATAGTAAAAAGACTTCAACAAGCAACAAATATAAAAATGTATCTTCATTTGTCTCCATCGAGTGAAAGCGAGGTTAACAACACCGGTCGTCTGGTTCTTTAGAGCCTTAATTTTAAGCGAAAAGGATTCTCGCTAAATTCTCACTTCGCAAGTGCACAAATGTACGAGCCCAAAAACAAATAGCACCACGTCTGTCGAAACAGAACGCGGCGCTCACCGCTCGCCGTCGTCACCGTTATGAGGAAACATCCCCAAAATGGAAGTTCGCCAACATCCGTCCGTCCGTCACGTACCTTGATCTCGATGTTGCCGACTTTAGCCGTGGAGCGGATGATCGGTCGCCCCACGAGGGCTGGGAAGATGTGTTCGGGGAAGTTGGAGCCCGCATATCCGCACTTCACAAACTGGAACAACAGCAGCAGCAACATCAGCAGTAACAAATTAAGAAGCCGGGTCAGGTGACGCTGTTAATTTGGACATCCTGGTTTCGGACCCGTGGATTGCTTGATGCAGTTTCAGGCGACACATCGTAGCTAATTGCGGTTGTGAGAATTGTTCTTTGACTCACCGGTGAGCCGAAACATTAGTTGACGCCTTAAACGGTTGTGCACGTAAATGCTGGAAAATGTTTGGATAAGTCGAGTGGTGGAGGGTTATACAAGAAAAATATAGCCAAACCATTAGGTGGCCAAACCCCCCCAAAAAGATCAATTATGAGCAATAATCAAATGGGCAGTGAAAAACCTCAATATTCAATGAACATTTATGAATAAAAAGAAACACAAAAATATCGGTACACTTGGTAACATGCGAACATCAAAACCACCACAAGCAACAGTGCCGTGTAGCTCTCCGATGTGTTCTCGGGTTGTACGGCGCGTGCTGTTCAGGATCACGTCCGACGTTTCGACCTAGGCGCAGAGCTTCTTCGGCAACCGAATTTCATTCGAGAAGCTCCGAACACATCCTTCCTGAACACGCGACGCAAACCGAACACGCACCGGAGAGCTGAACCTACGGCACCACAAGAGAAACTTTTTTTTTCGTTATACAAAAACCTCTCGCATACAGTGAGACCGCTAACAGCTCGGAAAGCACAGTGCACCGGGGCCTGCTTGCCTACATTCCTGATAGCCCCACACTTGGCGGTGTTTACTCCCTGCCCTCCAGGAAGAAACCCGCGCCGCCACCACCAGCTAAGCAGCACGACGTTTCCTGCTGTTCCTGCTACTGCTGTTGCTTCTGATGTTGCTGCTACTGATGTTGCTGCTGCTTCTGATACAGCGATTATTGCTTCTGATGACAATGAAATTGATACTGCTGCTTCCACAGCTGCTACTACTGCTGCTGCTGCTATTAGTGGTGGGGATGACGCTGCAGCATCATGATGCACTAATCGGGATGCTAACGACATATTTTGCTGAGCATTTGTTAAAAAGCACATGTTGCTGTGGTGGTGGTTTGCATATTGCCAGATGCTTCATTGTTTTCATTGTGGAAATAAAAATGAAAAAGCCATCACTTTAAATATCCCTGCTGCACAATTAATGTGTCGAGATAAACATGTTTAAGCGGAGCAAAATGTTTAACGTGCAGAGCAACTGGCTGTGTAACGAACAGCAACATTAATATGAGGGGGCAAGGTCATACATCCGACTTGCTGGAGACCAAGTTGAAGACCAAAACGTGGCAGTCGGATATGTGAATACCTAAATTTGCGATTACTGGGCAAAAATACATCGCAAACTGCTTTACATGTAGGGAAATGCTTGCCTGTGCTTTAAGAAACGAATGTACACGAGATTAATAATCTGTGACTGTGTGACAAGATCGGATTTGTAAACGTCTATAAACAATGACAGTTATACCCACCCATGCACAAACAAATACGGTACTGCAATGGGTGTGGACAATTAATTGGTCAGGGTGGATGTGTGACGGTCAGATGGATAGTGACGTTTTGTCGTCGTTGGTTTGAGACTGATCGGAAGACAGTACTCACGGCTGCTTGCCTATGTGTGCATGTTGAATTTCTTTTGCACTGTACGTAGCCAACCGTGCGAATCGCAGGTGCGGCTCGATTGTTAGCGGTGGGGCCAGTACTGGCGACTGGTTGGTTAGGGGTTGGACATGGCTTGAGAGTGTGCAGGAGTTGCAACTGCACTGGCACCCACTGAGTGACACACGGGTCACAAATGCTTGCCCAAGGTAGGAGGAGGGGGGGGCATCGATTTCTTGTAGGAATTTGACAGTCTGGGCGTCAACCTCAGCGCACAGCCACGGTTACGGAATTATGTCACAGGGCAACTCCCACCTTGGGAAAGTATTCCCGCTGCACACTTGAGATGACAATGGCACATTTACAAGCAAAGTATATCGGCGTGTGGGGGGGGGCACTGGCAAACTTTCCACTCGCGGTGATGCAAAGGTGAGCTAAGATTAAAAAAAAGTTTGCAAGTGTGGTGCAGAGGCGAGAGCGCTGGCTGTGTGTAAACGCAGGGCGTTTGCAATAAATAAAGTTAACTGCTGCACACGGTGATATCGTCACGCTGGCTGAAGAGGAGTGGGCATCAGTTAAAAAAGCTCTCGCGAGCCCAGCTGTGGCACGGTGGGTCATACACCCCCTGCACGGCCCTCTATCCGAAGCCCCGTAGGCTATGGAACTCACACATATCTATAGCTGTGGCCCTATGAGCCAGAAACACACTGCATACATCTCAATGTGGGCCCATTGGCCGAACTACCACGCACACTTTTCTCTGTGTGGGCACATGGCACCACAACAAGACCCACACATTTCTATGTGGGGTCCCAAGTAAACTCACAGCTTTCTTTATTAAGCGCCCCATGGGCTAGACACCATACACACATGTTTATCTGGGGATCATGGCACAAAAACCACGGAATACTTTTACATCTGGGGCTCCATGGGCGACTAAGCCCACACACATTCTGTGGTCCCCATGGGCCAAAAAATCTAAACGCTTCTATAGCTGGGGACCCCAAGGGCCATAAACCCTACACCTGCCCTCCAGCTGTCATATCGCGTGGCTCACTGGCGTGACAGGGACAACGTCCTGGAACTAGCGTGCGAGTTTCGCAGAAACCTTGAATCGAAGAGAGGTGTCTGCTGCTTACCAGCAACAAGTTTCCTTACTCGGCCTCCTGTGCAAATAAACAACCGAATTACACCACGGCCCGGTAAAGTTACACAGGGAGGGAGGGGGGGTGAGTGCTTTAATAGCAGCCCACACCAAGTCTCGATGAGGCGGCTTCAGAGCTTGGCTTATTCATCGGCCACATACCGAGGGCGTGCGTAACGTAGTGTGGGGGCGCAAAAAACAAGACACAAAGATCCCCCGAATAGCCTCTAACGGACTGTTGGGGCAATTGCTGTTAGGGACCACTGAGTTCGGCCTGAGTGGGCGGATGGATGGCTAGCACCACGCCCTTCCCAGTTTCTAATATTTCCACACAGCAGCAGGCAAAATTTTAAAGCTGGGTCGATATAAAGGAGCCCCAGAACCGCTTCAGATGTTCGTCACTGGTGTTAGCCATGAGCGGGAATCGAACTCGGCGTCACTGGGTTTGTATCGCCGTGTGCTGACCGTTAAGACGACTGCTTCCTATAGTGTAGGTCACACACACATACGTGGGTCACACACACGTGGGTCACACACAGTGGGTGAGCAATCCGTAACGCTGGTCCCTACTTAGGTTGCATGCAACCTAAGTAGGGACCAACCTAAGTTGCATGCAACCGAATCGCTTACATGTTGGATGTCTCCGCAACCAGAGACGTCGCGGCACACAAGCAGGCGATTACGTTGCGCGGTTTCGAGAGCGATTTGGTTGGTTGCACAAACGAACGGCCAGGTGTAGACCCGCCTTTAGACATTGCGAGCTGCTGTTGCGAGCTATCGGCGTAAGGTGGTGGGAGGGGGTGCGCAGTGGCGGTGGTGGGGGGCAGGCGGGGGAATAAGGACATCGAGGTGTGTGGATCCAGCTCGTCCTGGGGAACGTCGCGAGAGTGCATGCCAAGAGGAAGCGCTGGGATCTATCGACCATCGTCGTCATCGACCTCTGAACCCTGAGCTGATGACACCAATGGATGGATGGACATGTTGAACATGTATTGACTCGCTGCCCCCCCCCCCCACCAAACGATTTAATGAATTGTTGCAATTTGGGGGGGGGGTCACTATCCTATTAATCAGTTATTATTTAAATTTCGATTTAGAGCTTTCATGACTGCAGGGATTCATCTTCTTGGTTCTTTCGGTAAAGTCACGTAGAAGGGAAGTAATAAAATAATAAAAAGAAAACATAATAAAATAATTCTCACGACGTTTCGGCCACAACGCAAGCAGCCGTCCTCAGGTGAAAACTAGGTCAGACGCTGTCTCCCCGACAGACCTGGTTTTGACCTGAGGACGGCTGCTTGCGTTGTGGCCGAAACGTCGTGAGAATTATTTTATTATGTTTTATTTTTTATTATTTTATTACTTCCCTTCTACGTGACTTTACCGAAAGAACCAAGAAGAGTTATTATTTATTTCACCATTGTGAAAGTACAATAAAGTGTCTGCAGGGCTTTGGTCAAGCAATCACATAATTCACGATGACAATTGAGTCATTTGCCAATCTATGAATGAAATTAACGTTGCATAAACGTGCACTGACACGTGGTGGATTTTCGGTGTTTTAATGGTATAAGTGTCATTACGTGTTTACAATGTACGTCTAACGTGGCACACTGGATACTCACAATCGAGATTTTGGCTTCATCTCAAGGGATTGTAACCAGGTTAGGAGATACTTTATGAAGAAAAATCTTCCGCTGGATGAAAGCATTCCCACAAATGACTGACATTAAAACACCATTGCATGAGCCTAGATGCAACACCAGCCCGTCGTTTTCTATAAATTATGAAGAGCTGTTTCTCGCACGGTACGATTTGATGCACGCATCGTAATCGCAAGATACTATTTTAACAGATGAATCATTCCACATCTCACCGATGTACACACCCACCCACAAGTGAAATGCACTTGTAATTCGATGATGGCTCCATGAGGACCTGGTGTGTGCAGCTGAAATGGTATGCAAATAAGGAATGCACTGTACCGATTTCAGTGCAGATAACGAACAACACATCTTGGCATCAGGTGACGTTTCGACGCATATTTACCAACTCGGCTGGAGAGCGCCCAATCTCAACACATCTCGGAAGCTAAGCAGGGCTTTTGAGCCGCCAATAGTGTTTGAATGGGTGACCGTCATGTAGAGTACACTTCTGTATTTCCACGTCTATGCTCCCCTGCCTTCCAACAACTCGCACTGACCAGCATGGGGAAGTATGGTCAAATAACCGCCATGACCCGTCCAGCAGTCAATTTAAAAAGGGGCACGATGGTGCAATATCCCTTGCCAACTCGCTGTGATAACATTCGCAATGTTATACAATTCACGTTATAAACCTTTGCTGTGTATATTGTCCATACCGTATTGAGTAATTATCTCAAATACCCCATTTGTCCTGGTGCTTCGAGATGTTAATGCATGGGAGGCGCTGTGTAAAAAAATCACCGATGATGGCTGATGGTCAAGAGTAGTGACGGAGCGTTAGCCAAGGAACGGAACGAGTCCATTAGGGCGATGACATCGGCTCGTGTGTTGTATGTGCAAGGTGGAATACTACTGCACAGGATCACGCTACGTCTTGAGGATGTTTTTTTTCACTAGTGGACTGATGACAAAATTATTAATTGCTACATTTGGTTGAGAGAATTGTTCTCCAACTCACCGGTGAGCTGAAACAATAATTGGCGCCTTGTTAAACACTTGCACCACGTGACAATTATTACTTTTGGCTGTGTCGGGTTCTTGGCCTCATAAATTTGGTCAGATCATCACGTGGCCGAAGACAAAAATCAATTATAAATCTTGGCAAATGATTATGCATTTTTACGACACTTGTTTACCTAGGATAGCCTCACCGAGTCTCAAGTTTTTGTATGAGCTGGCAATGATTACTTTAGTATATTCCAGTCATTTTTAAAGTAATGAAAATATGGGCCATGACGCCAGCACACAATGGCCTACTCTATCCAATAGTAACTGCAGCTCCCTTTGATGCTGTTAATCCTGCATAATGCACATGCATATGCAGGACTAATCACATTCCTGCATTTCCCATAAATATGCTAAATTCCTTTTGATATGCAAATTCCTTTGTCAATGCGCCCAGCTTATATATATGCTCCAAGCTCGTGTGCTGTTTCATTCAGACTCTGTCGCCTCGACGGACCTGGTTTTCACCTGAGGACGGCTGCTTGCGTTGTGGCCGAAACGTCGTGAGAATTGTTTTATTATGTTTTATTTTTATTATTTTATTACTTCCCTTCTACGTGACTTTACCGAAAGAACCAAGAAGATGAATCCCTGCAGTCACGAAAGCTTTAAATCGAAATCTATCCAATACTGTCACAGGATCTTTAACGTCCATGTATTCTTATGGTCAATACATCCGTCGTATTAATCAGGACTTATGTTGAGTCATTACTGGAATACGGATAATGTCACTGCCAGGGTGTGAAGCCATAACAAAGGCTGTTCTGTACATCTATCAAAAGCACTGGGCGCTGGCCAAATCCGCACACGGTGCACACTCAGCAATGTATGTGGTAAGTAGTACGCTCACTCCACACTTAATTATTCCGAGGCAGAGTTTCGGGAAATAACATCCAACCCACACCACCACCACCACCACCCCTTTTCCGGACAGTGTTTGGGAGGGGGGGTTGAGTTTGGTGGGCACCGGAAAATATTCCGCGATAATTTAAGCTCTGCTCACACGAGTACTCCATGTGCATGCAACTCGTGAACACACCACACACACACGCGCGGTGCAGTACTTGTAGACTAAGATGTACAGTCCCGGCTTATCTGGTGGAGTACAGAACGCGTTTCGTCACTTCCTGCATGTAAAAGGGAACTTCTCGGCTAGTGCAGGCGTCTGGAGCATAGCACAGTGCACATTCACCCCCCCCCCCCCCCCCCCACGGGCATTAACCACGGCCTTCATTTCAGCCGGCTCGGAAAATATTTCAGCACCCGCGGCACACCACATCCATCAATGCACCTCTCGCTTTGGGCTGTTGGCTACTTACTAACTTAGGTCACGTGCCACAGTTCACCAGCGACCCGGAAAAATGACGCTCTGCATGTTGTGTGTGTCTTTCATTCACCATCATCATCGGCCATGGTCAATCCACTGCTGGATGAAGGCTTCCCCAAGCCGTCGCTACCTCTCGCGGTGCTGCTACTAAACAATCCACCTTCACGCACGAGCTCATTTCATCGCTCCATCTCCGTTGTGTACGTGCTCTCTCTCATGCGCGATTCCCTCTCTTGTTGCTAAACCCTGGGCAGCCCATCCTGCCTTGGTGGCCCCAGGGGGTTAAATGTTTGGGTCAAGGCACAGGTTATATTTGTTAGGGTCAGGGTTAAAGGTTTATGTCCAGGTAAGTTGGTGGTCCGGTTAAGGTTAGGGTCAGGGCGATAGTCAGGGTTAGGTTGAATATTGGGTCCGGTTTAGTAACAAAAATATGGATTGGGTCAAGATCGTGTTGCCTTTAGGCTCAGGAGTCGTGCAATTTAAAACGACTCCATGCTGGAGCCCTGGAACGTCCCTTACAACAACCACGTGATGTTTCCCGCATTACCGTATATCGTTACGAGGTTGTTCTGTGCACCGTCTGGATTCTGCCCAAGTGGATCGGAGCCAGAGCCGATTCAACTCTGAACCAGAACCGAGTTCGATCCCAAACAATACCGCATGGAACCGGGACCCGATCTGAACCGAACCGCTGGGGGGAGCGCGGGGGGAGGATTAGTTCACTTCCCGGTGTCGCGCGTCGCTTCCGCTTATTTATACAAAATGTAGCAACTCGGCTTCCTCCCCCAGCGGGGTAGGGGGGGGGTACGTGGGGGGGGTACGTGGGGGGGTACGTGGGGGGGGTACGTGGGGGGGGTACGTGGGGGGGGTACGTGGGGGGGGGTACGTGGGGGGGGGTACGTGGGGGGGGGTACGTGGGGGGGGGTACGTGGGGGGGGGTACGTGGGGGGGGTACGTGGGGGGGGGGTACGTGGGGGGTACGTGGGGGGGGGGTACGTGGGGGGGGGGTACGTGGGAGGGGGGTACGGGGGGGGGGTACGTGGGGGGGGGGTACGTGGGGGGGGGTACGTGGGGGGGGTACGTGGGGGGGGGTACGTGGGGGGGGGTACGTGGGGGGGGGGTACGTGGGGGGGGTACGTGGGGGGGTACGGGGGGGGTTACGTGGGGGGGGGTACGTGGGGGGGGGTACGTGGGGGGGGGGTACGTGGGGGGGGGTACGTGGGGGGGGTACGGGGGGGTACGGGGGGGGGTACGGGGGGGGTACGTGGGGGGGTACGTGGGGGGGGGGGGTACGGGGGGGGGTACGTGGGGGGGTACGTGGGGAGGTACGTGGGGGGGGTACGTAGGGGGGGTACGTGGGGGGGGGTACGTGGGGGGGGGGTACGTGGGTGGTACAGGTGGGGGCACAGGGATTGAGGGGGCACCCCCCTAAACATGGGCTCTTAATGGTTTAATCTTTAGCTCCCCCCTCCCCAGAGAGAGACAGGCCTGTACACACAGTATATAAAGACGAAGATCCCCGTGTAGCCTACGCAGGCTGTTGAGGCAAGAGCTGTTCGCGAGCATCTATTAAGAACGTCACGGGGGGGGGGGTGCAGCTAGTACCACGCCCGGCCGCCTTTGTCTCCCCAGCGCTGCAGCTCCACACACAAACCGAATCCGAGACGCGTTCAAGACGTAACAAACCTAGCCAAGGCCCAGGAGCGGTGACGGTAAGCGCGACTGACGTTAGCCGTGAGCGGGGAATCCAACTCCAATCTAGACGCCTGGCCGAGGCCGAGGCCGGCACCGGCTCGACTCGGGGGCCCAACCCAGCGAGCGAAACGAGCTGCGGGACGCGGCGAACCGAAGCCAGGGATCATGGTGGGGTGGTGGGTGGAGAGGCGGTGTGGATGGGAGGTGTGGAACCCTCCACCCCCCTCCCCTCGGCTCTTAACGTTCGACTCCGCCGCCGCCGCCGCGGCCTGTGAGTGAGAGGCGCGTGTCCGCGCGTTGGGCCCCACGGCGGCCGCCCCGACTCACCCCCGTGCCGTTGTCGCACACCACCACTCGCCGGCCCTGGCTGTCCATGGCGCCCGTCTCAGCTGCTGGGGCGGCTCGCTGCTCGCTGCCGTTGCTGAACCCGGGGGGCGGGGGGGCGGGGGGCGGGGCGGCGGGGGGCGGGGCGGCGGGGGGCGGGGGGCGGGGATTGGGTGACGAGGGGGCGTGGCGACAAGGGAGCGGGATCGTGGGGGGGGGCTCGTGAGGGGGGAGGGCTAGTGGGGGGGGGGGCGGGCTCGTGGGGGGGGTCTCGTGGGGGGGGGGGCTCGTGGGGAGGGCTCGTGGGGGAGGGCTCGTGGGGGGGGGGGCTCGTGGGGGGGGAGGGCTAGTGGGGGGGGGGCTCGTGGGGGAGGCTCGTAGGGGGGGGGGCTCGGGAGGGGGGAGGGCTCGTGGGGGGGAGGGCTAATGGGGGGGAGGGCTCGTGGGGGGGGCTAGTGGGGGGGGGGGGGAATAGAAGCCGCCGCCCTTCGTCGTCGTGGTCGATCCACTGCTAGATTGTTCTCACTCGTTTGGGGACTGTCACGTTGACGCCGGTCAGTGTGCGGGTTTCGCTCGTGCACGTCATAGACGTTAACATTGTAAATGTCGACGAAACATTGTAAATGTTGACGCGAAAAGTCGCGAAGGAGAATGGAGTCCCTAAAAAAAGCGAAACTTGTGAGTTGAAACGTCGAGTCGATTTTTTGGGTTTAAATTGAATGGTGACGATCGAAATCGTTGTGGTTATAACAAAAATTAAAATCGATAGGGGGGCTTGGTGGTGGTGGTGGGGGTCACGGGGCGTGTGGGCGGACTCGTGGGGGGGGGGAGGGGCTCGCGGGGTGTGAGGCTAGAGGGGGGAGGGGCGGGGTGTGTGGGGTGAGATAAGGGGAATGGGGGAGGGGCGGGGCTGGTTACGGCCGGGGTGGTGGCGGGCGAGGGGAGGGGCTCCTCCACCGGATGTCATTTTGTGGGGAGGGGCTAGGAAGTGACGTCACGATCCCCCAGCCACCCCTCCCCCTCTCTCGCTATGTCTATATATGGTCACGCACGCTATGGGTCCCGCCCTCATTGGCCTTAACGTTTCATTGAAAAATATGTTTCATGAGTACAATAGTTATTTTTGGTACAATAATGCGTTTGTCTGCAACTCAATGGCCAATTTCGAAATTGTTCATCAGGATTTAGTTTCGTGTGATGTATTTCTCCCCATGGTGTAAAGCGTGTCGGCCCCCCCCCCCACCTCTTGTTATCCACCCTGTCGGATGATGTTGCTTATAAGAGGAGCGCGTTGTTCCCCCAGTCGTCGCGAGTTGTCGACTTATCCCGACGAAGGCAACTGTCGCTGGTGAAACGCGTTGCGCTGATTGGGTTGGGGGCGACTTTGATTGACAGGCAGTGGGTCACGTGACTCTTGGCCGTCTCCTGAAATGAAAAGCAATGTGGGACATTTCGATTTAAAGCTTTCGTGACTGCAGGGATTCATCTTCTTGGTTCACGTAGAATGTAAATAATAAAATAATATTTTAGCTCATTTTATTAATTTATTATATTATTTTCTTATTTTATTTATTTCCATTCTACGTGACTTTACCGAAAGAACCAAGAAGAGAAAAAAAGATGGGACTTTGTAGGGACGAGAGTTGCACTTGTACGTTACAGACCTTTGCTCTCAATCCACTGCTGGATGAGGACCTCTCCGCACACACCGTGGGGGTTATTTGCTTATCCTTCACGCGGATCAATGCGGGTTGGTTCAGGACACGGTCAAATGGACGCGGGAGCATAGAAGTACAATACAACAAACGGTAGCTGCGACGCTGCCCCCTGCTGACCACCGCGTCTGTATGTTGCTGCCTTGGAACGTTCTTACCCAGCCCCTACTGGACATCTGTGGAAAAGAGCTTCATAGCTCATCGGATTCCTGCAGTGTGAATACATATTCTGGGAATCACAGGGATTTAGCAATGTCCTCAAAACAATCGCAAATTGGTAAATACATCGATTGAAATTACACACATTGTTTGGTGCTGCTGCTGCTGCGTTGACAGTGGTGCACAAGTACATTAAAACAGAATCAGAATGTGTTTTTTATACTGGAGGAATCCGATGAGCTACTAAGCTTTTTTCCACAGATGTCTCAGTACAACACTTATTCAACAACAGCGTGGCCTTTGTTAATGCTTGATAAATTAGTGCATTAAACATTAACACCAAGTAAGACTTCCAACGTCCTTGGGTGGGCTACACATTAACAGACACACACACACCTCATCCGCTGCCGTCACTGCACCAAGGCCTTTGGGGCCGTCCATAAATGACGTCACGCGATTTTGGACGATTTTTGACCCCCCCCCCCTCGTCACACGGCGTCACAAAAAGTCAGACCCCCCCTCAAATATGACGTCACAAAGCTCTGCCCCCCCCCCCAAAACCATATTTCCATTTTGAAATTAAAAAACATGCTTCAAATCGCTTTAAACTATTGTCATTATAGTGCGTATTTAATGTGGCGCTGCACTCTGATGTAGGAGAAAACATTTATTAAAAAGTCTATTTAATTAAGAAGAACGTGTTGTCTGTATTTATTTAAAGTTGCGCATTTTGATGTGACGTCACATTTCTCACCCCCCCCCCCCCCCTCGTCACACAACGTCACAAATGTCTGCCCCCCCCCCCCCCCCAGATGCGCGACGTCATTTATGGACGGCCCCTTTGCAGTTACAACAGAAAGTGACTAAGGGCGCTGTTACTGTAGTCAATTGGCGGGTCAAAAACCTGCCCTCGAGTAATCGATTACTGCAGATAATTTTGAGTGGAAGTGGGCAGCCTTCAACGCGGCCCACTCTGTTGAGTGATACATCACGACGGAGGCTGATCACCCGACCGAACATCGATGGTCGTATCTCCCGGTCGTCGACATATACGACACAAGCGCGCCCGAGATGTTAACATTGAACGGCTCAATGATCAATAATAATAGGGGTTTTCCCATTTTTTCTTGCAACAAAACTGAATCCTTTTTACAATAAACCACGTCTGCATTAACCACCAATACTCGTGGTCAAAATGCAAACAAAAAACACACTGATAATATATGCAAAAAAACCCAATTATATTTTGGTACTGCTAAAATGTTGTAGATGACCAAATAATACAAAATGTCCGAGGCAATTAAATATTTTATTTCTGGAACACTCTTTTTTCCCAGGGGTGTACTTAGCTCCGAGACTGGGGTACCAATCAATACGAAATCGGTGGTGTTCCTCCGCGATGTCGAAACCCCAAACATCAGCATAAAAAAACAATTATCGAAAAATTCAACTTTGAATAGTGCATCGTGTACAGCTCGTCGAGATGAGTCGATTGCCGCATCGCCGACCATCAACTGACTGCATCGCGGGGTTATATGGAACCCCGGGGTACCGCCATAAGGTTTACATTTTTGTTTGCGGGACGTTTGAAAATGTGACCCGCGAGACGTATGACATTGGAAGTTGTTGGGTTGTTTGCGGCATAGGCTGGGGCAGGGAGGGGCGGCGAAGGTCCCTCCACCCCCCCCCCCCCCCTTTGCTCCGCACGGACGCCAGTGGTGCCGCTCACTGACCAAAGTAGTGAAGTATGGATAAAAAACGGGTACGGTCAAGTATGCCCTCGTGCAACAGTGATGGACTGGCAAAAGCACGGTAAATGGAATCAATCTTATACACAGTACATTTTTATTTAAGATGGCACATTGCTGCTAACAATATCGAGTGTTGTGCATTTTCAGATTTGATCATCAGGATCTTTAAACTGGAAGAATCCGAAGAGCTATGAAGCTCTTTTTCACAGGTATCCAATATATTTTATCGCGCGACTGCTGCAAAAGGCTGCACAATCGCAAGCACTTGCCGGAAATGTGAGTTTAGAAGAGCCAATCTGTAGACTTCCAATGCACAAGAGGAGTCAGACCAGATGCGTGTCGCCTTTTTGGGTGGAATGTTACTCAGTACTTGCCACAAATGAATCACACTTGCTCGCTGATCTCGTCAAAGAGCATAAACGATCACCCGAACTCCGGTCATCCACGCAGCAGCGGTTCTCGGCTGGCCATCGTACAAAGACGCTCGCCGCATCGCGCCCTTTCAGATGCGCTTCTGCGGCCGTCTGGAACGCTCTTCAGATATTAGGAAGCCACTGGAGCTGTGCACTTTAAAATCATCCAGATTGAAATCTCATTTCTTTATAACTGATTTTTTATGTTTATTTTGTTGTCCTTCCCCCGCACCTCCGATTAGCATGGTTGTCAACGTACGGTGTGAAAGAAATCCAATATACATACAGTGCTTGTTATTTAAACAACGACGATTGCTAATTGCTGTTGTCAGTAACTTCCCATTGATGGACAACAGGCTTTCCCATTTTCCTTCCATTCCATCCTTTCCTGAGTTCTTGTCCCTTAGCAGACTATCAACTCTTTGACTTCGTATTGATTGTAATCCGGGATTCATTTCTTTATAGCTGAATATGTTTCTCGCGGCTATATGCAGTAAGTGGAACTTTAAATGTCTAGAACAGTGGTTCTTCTTAACCTGGGGTGCACGCATCCCCTGGGGGTGCGAAATGCCCTTTCTGGGGGTGCGAGACACGGCCAGATTTCATTGGAAGGTAAATCATCGAAAACACAAATTAGGCACGGGCACGTAAGTACAACGACTTTGTTTCATCAAACCCGATGTATTTATTAACATTATAAAAACAAATTACGAACGCTGCAGTAAAGGTTAAGAACCACTGATCTAGCGGCATTATCCTGGACTCGAAACCGTCTTTCAAGACCCACGTTGACGACCACCGCATGGCCAGGAAGATAAAACAAAACCAAAATTGGATTCCTTTACAAGCAAACAAACGCGCCTTCCACCTCATAATCCGTCGCAAGAATATGTGTTTATACTGGAGGAATCCGATTTCCCAGTACATTCCACTCTACGCCCCTCGATAGAACTCCACATTGCGAGCTTTACACATTTACTCAAATCTGTCCCCTTCCCCCCTCCTGGATATCCGGAGAGACCATCACTGGGATAATCTTCATCGTTACGGTCCTAAACAAATCCGATAATTACCTAAATGACCACTTAGTTCCC